GAAGGGCAGCTAGGGGCCATAGTCTCAGTGGTTCCACCATCTATGGAACTCAGACTTCTGTCCTCCCGATCTGTAAGAGAATAAACTCCTGTTTGTTCAAGCATCCCATTTGTGGTATATTCTTGTCAGAGCGGCACTAGGTAACCAGAACAGTTATGTAGCCAGGAGGAACTATTCCCTGGAGAAGGATGTCATGCTTGGTAAAGTGGAGGGTCAACAGAAAAGAGGAAGGCCCTCAATGAGATGGAGTGACACAGCGGCTACAACGATGGGCTCAAGTATAGCAAGGATTGTGAGGCTGGCACAGGGCCGGGCAGTGTTTTGTTCTGTTGTACACAGGGTCGCTATGAGTTGGAGACAACTTGACGGCACTAACAACAACAATAATCCGGCCTGTGGTGGAGATTTTGTCATAGTCAGTCCAAAGTTTCTCCTTATCTGCTTTTTTCTGGGCCAGGCCAAACTTCCTGTGGACTTCGGACCGTAAGGCTGAAGCAGGAACAATGAGGTTCTTACCACCTGTCACAAGTAGAGCCAATCACAACAGGCTGAAGTAGAAAAACAAAAGAATTTATTGAATATTGATACTCAGAGAGACAGAGAATCACTTCTCTAAAATGTCCATCTCCTCAAGTAAAGGGGTAAACATGGTTATACAGAGAGATGGGAAGGGAGTTGAAGATCTCTTGGACTGACAGGAATTACTTTGTTCTTCTTTTCCATGGTTACTCCACACTCTTTCCTCTTCCCAGGGTCATCTTGCTTCATAGACTACGGTTCTCAGCTGAAACCAGTCGTTAGAAGAACGTATGATTAAAAATAACAAACCTCAAGAAATCAGCGTCTGTGAAAAGTTTAGCTATTCTATTCACTTAATAGAAAGCAAAAAACTCTAAACCAAACTCACTGCTGTCAAGTTGGATCTGACTTGTAGTGACCCCTCCTTGGGTTTCCGAGGAGGTATCACTACACCACCAGAGCTCCCGAAAAGAAAGTGAAGGGGAGGGAAAAATATCAAGTTAGTCATTACAGTTAATGTCTACTTTAATTATGGTGCCCTAGTGACTGCTAACCAGAAAGCTGGTGGTTCACACCCACCAGCAACTCCTCGGAAGGAAGATGGGGCAATCTACTTCCATGGAGATACTGCCTCGGAAACCCAAGGAAGGGTCACTATGAGTTGAATTGACTCCATGGCAGTGAGGCTTTTTTTCTTTTGATTTGCTAGTTTGTTAAAGTTCTGCAATTTTCAGCAAGGGGCTCCTTGGACTTACTTCAGCCTTCCACAAGGCTCTCTGGTGCTTGGTCTATGTCTGTTCATTGGGAAGCTCAGGAGTGGTGCTAGGGGGACGCTGTCCCATGCTCTTCTCCAGGACAGCAATGCTCCAGGCACGTGAAAATCACTCTGCTTCCTGCCACACCTAGCTGCTCACACTCACCCACCTGGACTCACCTCCCAGCCCGAGGGGCTGGTTGCCTCCCTCAGCCTCCTTCCTTTGCCCTCAGTGTTCCCAAACATCTCTGGGGCCCCTGAGGTTCCCACTTTCTTAAGGAAAATTAGGAAACTTCTCTTCCTTGCTTCCCTTTTCTTCCTCCTTCTAGACCAGGGAGCCTTTACTGTGTGTGCCCATGCCCCCTGTATCCTGGACTTTGGAAACTCACATGTCTTTTCTCCATTTCCTGCAGGAACCTACTTTCCCAGAGGAACTGAATACAGAACTCAGCACACCTCTTTTAGGGGCCAAGGGCAGATATGAAACATCAGGGAGAAAAATTTAAATGTTTCAACATAGTATTCCCACATCATGGAACCCCTTTGCAAACTCAGAACCAGACTCCTACTAAAGCAAGAATCATCTTTATTGCAACTGGAACTTCCCATTATCACTGTAGCCATTCTTGGGCTCTCAAGGGTCCAGAGCACATGCAGCTGATGGGGGAAGAGTGGGCCTTGGTGAGAACTGGTTACTCTGCTGGAACAGTCAGCAGCATGTAGTCCTGTGGATAAGACAAGAAAGATGCACTTCATCCAACCTCATTCCCCTTAAAACCTGCTCTCTCTGAAGCTGCTCTTGTCCCTCCCAGAGGGGCCACATGTGTGTCCTAAGGACATGCCTTCCCTCAGTGGCAAGATAGCAGAGTCAGAGACTGACTGGACAAGGGGGTAGAGTAGAGAGGGGGCATCTTAGGGATGTTTGTGAACCAGCAGACCAAGCTCTGGGGTTCTTCCTGAAAGCTTGTGCCTCTATAGGGTTTGTCTTGTTGGAGTCACCCAGAGGGGGTCTCCCAGCCCAGTTAGGGCCATCCATGTGTGCCCACCCACAGTGTCTAAACCTCTGCTACACCTGATGTCACTGCCTGCACTGTATCTTGTCTTGCATCTGCCTTTCCCACTGGACTGGGAGTTCCTGGAGGGTTCAGGGACTGGGTCTAACTCATGTCTTCGTCCTGACATCACTCAGCACAGAATAGCCAGTGAGTAAGTGAATGAAAGTGAATGAATGAATGAATGAGCAATCAGGGCAGCCATGAAAGGACATGTAGATGGTGTGCTGCCCCACTCCAGGTGGTATTGTTCATGTAAACCACAGTATGAGTGCTTGGAACAGCCATCTCAGATGCAACTATTGGTCTCTCTTGCCTGGAGCAAAGAAGAGTGAGGAAAATCAAAGGCACGTAGAAACAATTAATCTAAAGGACTAGTGGACCATGTGAACCTCAGTTTCCACAACCCTGAGACCAGAAGCAGTAGATGATGCCCAGCTACCACTAGGAAGCCCTTGGGAAGGGATCATGCTTGAAGATCCAACCCGCACAACAGTATAAGGCAGCCTAGAAGTGAATAAATGATGAGTGAAGAAGCCCACTCACTCCCTCTCCTCTTGCCTCTAATGATCTGGCTATGAGATAGCTGCTGGTTCAAAGGCTCTGGCTGTTTGGCATTGGCTTTGCTTCTCTTTGGCATTCAGAGCTCTAGGGAGGCCCCTGCCCAACCTGAGCAGCACCCCGAGTTGACAGGCCCACTTGGAGCAGCTCCAGCCCCTGCATTTCTTGTGGGGATTCTCTAGTTCCCACCAGTGTGTGTGAGCCTCCCCTCTCACAAGGGTCTCCCTGGGTTTAATCTAGGGAGGGGTCTGCAGAGAGTAACACAGCCAGGAGCTAGGGCTTTGATGAGCCCTGCTCCCTCCCACCCCCTCCTGCACAGTAATTTCTGGTTCTTGGAAGCAGGTTTCTAGTGTTTCCTGATTGTCTAGATTGAGAGTTAAAAGTCCTGGTCCCAGGCTTGGGCATAGGCTGAGTGGCCTGAATCTGGAACTTTATGTCTAGATGCTGGGTCACATTCTGTCAAATGTTGGAGAGGGGCTGGATGATATTAGTGCTCCTAACAGTTCCCATGTTTGTAAAGGGAAACCCTCAGCTCCAGCTCATAGGGAGCTATCTTTATCCTCATTTCACAGACAAGAAGAAACAGGCTCAGAGAGGGGCAGTAATTTGCCTGAGGACACATAGCCAGGAGGTGGCAGGCACACCTTCAACTTGGTTCTGTCTGATTCTCTCTGCTTCACTCCTAAAATCCCTTCCTGTTTTGTTATTTAAGAGTGAGAGTCCTTTTGTCAGGCTCAGCCGGCACAACATAGTCCACAAAGACAGAGTTCTACATCCCACTTTGGTGAGTAGTGACTGGGGTCTTAAAAGCTTTTGAGCAGCTAAGATGCAACTATTGGTCTTTTTTTGTCTGGAGCAAAGAAGAGTGAAGAAAATTAGACACTTGGAAACAATTAGTCCAAAGGACTAGTGGACCATGCGAACCTCAGCATCCATGACTCTGAGACCAGAAGAACTAGATGGTGCCCAGCTACCACTGCCAATTCTTTGGAAAGGGATCAAAATTGGAGATCCTGAATAGAATGGAAGTAAAATGTGGAACAAAATTCAAAGTCATAAAAAAGACCAGGCTTACTGGTCTGATAGATAAACCCCCTAATAGTGAAACCTCCAAGACCATGGCCCCTAGTCACCTTTCAGGCTTGGAATTGAGCTCACTCCCATGGTTTAACTTGTGTGTTAATAATAGACAGGACTATGAGGTAAACAATTAAACCAGTGAACACTCCTTAGAACAATCCACCATGGAAGATCAGAAGGGCAGCATTTGTGCAGGGAAAAGCTCAGAGGGCAGGAATACATAGGAAAGAAGGACACAGGGAAAAGGTGACCACAGGGAGGAAGTGGGAAGAGAGCTGTTACATTGTGAAGATTGAAATCAATGTCATGAAACAAAATGTGTATGAACTGTTAAATGGAAAACGAATTTGCTCTTTCACTCAAATCACAATAATAAGTTAAAAAAAAAACACACACAAAGAGAGTGAGAGTCATTTTAAGGTGAGAGAAAAAGAAATGAATGTCATCTCTAAGACTTTCCACCTCCCCCTGCCCTCCATCAGCCTCCTTTTCCGCAACCACGTTCTCTCCTCAGATTCGGCCCACAGTTGGAAGGAAGAGGATGGAAGAGGCAGGGCAGCCCCAGGGGCAGTTTCAGAGCTGACTCTGATGGCTCGTCATTCCTCCTCTGGCTTTCTATGCCCCCTGGTCTCTGGCTGGATCTAACCTCTGGCGATTAGCTGGGCTGGATGGCTCTAGTTCCCAACCTCTGGGAGCTCAGAACAGCAGGCTCCAGAGGCACCAGCCCTATCCTAGGAGTAGGTGTGCCCAAGTTTGAGGAACCTGAGTAGTCTGGGTAAGGGTACAGGCTTTGGAGTCAGATGAACTCTGGTTATAATCCTGGCTCTGCTGCCCTGGGTAAGTTTCTCTGTCTCTCATAGCCCCAGTTTCTTTAGTTGTAAGATGGGAAAATAACAGCATTCACTTATGATGCTGTCGTGAAGGTCCCTTGTGTAAGACACTGAAGTTCTCTGTGAGTCCTGTGGTCTAGCTGTGCCCCATGAAAGATTCATGTAGCCCCTCATAGCCTCAGTTTCTTCCTCTGCAAATAGGGGTCATATCCAGGAGTGCTGTGAGGAGGAGGCAAGGTAGGGAGGTAAAGGACTCCGGGCACAGGAAGTGTCTCCTCTCCCCATAACTCAGCATGTCCATTTGCATGAAGTGGCCATCTAAGATCTGGGCCTTGAAGGTGTCTAGCTCTGACCCTCCACATGCATTTTAGGAAGTACCCTTTTCCCCAGCACTTACCTCAGAAAAGTCCATATGGGCCTGGTCAAAGGAGATGCCCTTGATGTTGGGCAGAGGGAGGTCTTGTTTTCTGAGCCGTTCTGCAATAGGGGTGGGCAGGGGAGCTTAGTGCCCTTGTGGGCAAGGCTTCTCACAGGTAGAGGACAAGGGAGTGATGTGGGGACAGGCCAGCTGATTCTTGCTGCTCCAATGCCCAGGACAGGGAGGGTACTCAGTGTGTCCCCCTTCCCTTTCTCAATTGGCTCTATCTCCCAGCCTCATCAGGCAGCCCTGAAATTGTAAGCTGCTCCAGTCCCAAGTCTCTAAATGGTTACCTTACCCACTTACTACAAACCTATCTTATGAGGATTCTATTTTTTATTTTTTAAATTTTTATTGTGATTTGGGTGAAGGATTCTTCCTGAATAAATTCATTGACATGCTTATGAATATATTCTCAGCAACATTTGAAGCCATATTTGATTTGTGGAAGGCTTCTTATGAATATATTACTGAATTTTATCCTTTTTGTTTAATTAAGGGAAACTGTTGAAAAACTAAAAACAATAAATTTGGCAGAAACAAAAAATGTATCAAAAAAGGGTAGAAAGAAGTCAGTGTAAACTGAAATTACCTTTAAAACACTGGGAGTTTGGTTATACTAATAAAAACATCCATTGAGTTTATCAAGGAAAGAAAATAATCATGACTGTAACTTTATCCATTACATATATAAAAACAATAGCACTTCAAGTAAGTTTTTGGTTATTATTGTATTATTAGGTGCCGTCAAGTTGGTTCCGACTCATTGTGACCCAATGTACAACAGAACGGAACACTGCCCAGTTCTGCACCATCCTCAATCATTGCTATATTTGAGTCCATTGTTGAAGCCACTGGGTCAATCCATCTCACTGATAGTCTTTCTCTTTTCCCCTGACCCTCTACTTTAAAGTGGAGGGTCAGCAAAGAAGGGGAAGGCCCTCAACAAGACGTATTGACACAATGGCTGCAATGATGGGCTCAGGTATAGCAAGGATTGAGAGGCTGGCGCAGGACCAGACAGTGTTTTGTTCTGTTGTACACAGGGTGGATATGAGGTCAGAGCCAGCTTGATGGCATGTAACAACAACAACTACTACTTTACCAAGCATGATGTCCTTCTCCAGGGACTGCTCCCTCCTGAGAACATGTCCAAAGTACATGAGATGAGGTCTCAGCATCCTCCCTTCTAAGGAGAATCCTGGCTGTACTCTTTCAAGACAGATTTGTACATTTTTCTGGCATTCCATGGTGTCTTCAACATTCTTCACCAACACCATAATTCAAAGGCATTAACTCTTCAGTCTTCCTTCCTTATTCGTTGTGTAGACTTTGCATGCATATGATGCACTTAAAAATACCATGGCTTGCATCAAGCACACATTAGTCCTCAAAGTGACATCTTTGCTTTTTAACATTTTTAAGAGGTCTTTTGCAGCAGATTCATCATCCAATGCAATACGTCATTTCATTTCTTAACTGCTGCTTTCATGGATTCTGATTGTGGATCCAAGTAAAATGATATCCTTGACAACTTCGATCTTTTCTCTGTTATGATGTTGCTTACGGGTTCAGTTGTGAAGTTTTTGTTTTCTTATATTGAGCTGTAATTCATGCTAAAAGCTGCAATCTTTGTTCTTCATCAATAAGTGCTTCAAGTCCTCTTTGCTTTCAGCAGGCAAGGTTGTGTCATCTGTATATTGTAGGTTGTTAATGAGTCTTCCTCCAATCCTGATGTTGCATTCTTCTTCATGTAGTCCAGCTTCTCAGATAATTGGCTCAGAATACACATTGAACAAGTATGGTGAGAGGATACACTCTGACACACACCTTTCCTGATTTTAAACCATATAATATACCCTTATTCTATTTGAACGACTGTCTCTTGGTCTGTGTACGGGTTCCTGTAAATGTTCTGGAATTCCCATTCTTTGCAATGTTATCTGTAATTTGTTATGATCCACACAGTCAAATGTCTTTACGTAGTCAATAAGAAACAAGTAAATATCTTTCTGGTATTCTCTACTTTCAGCCAAGATTCATCTGATATAAGCAATAATATCCCATGTTTCATGTCCTCTTCTGTATCTGACTTGAGTTTCTAGCAGTTCCCTGTTGATACACTGCTGCAACCATTTTTGAAATATCTTCAGCACAACTATTTTTGAATTATCTTCAGCAAAGTTTTGCTTGTGAGTGATATTTGTGATGTTTGATAATTTCTGCATTCTGTTGAATCACCTTTCTTTGGAATGGGCACGAATATGGGTCTTTTCCAATTGGTAGCCAAGTAGCTGTTTTCCAAATTTCTTGAAAGATGAGTGAGCACTTCCAGAGTTGCATCTGTTTTTGAAACATCTCAGTTTGCATTCTGTCAATTCCTGGGACCTTGTTTTTTACCAGTGCCTTCAGTGCAGCCTGGACTTCTTCCTTCTGTACCATTGGTTCTTGATTATATGCTACCTCTTTACTTGGTAGGGGAGCTCTGGTGGCATAGTGCCTAAGGCATTTGACCGCTAACCAGAAGGCTGGTGGTTCAAACCCACCAGCCACTCCTTAGAAGGAAGGTTGGGCAATCAACTTCTGTAGTGATGCTGCCTCGGAAACCCAAGGAGAGGTTGCTGTGAGTGGGATCCAACTCCATGGCAGTGCATTGCATTTGTTTCTGTTGTTCCTTAAATGGTTGAATATTGACCAATTCTTTTTGGTACAGTGACTCTGTGTATTCCTTCCATCTTCTTATGATGCTTCCTGCATTGTTCAATATTTTGCCCATAGAATCCTTCAATATTGCAACTTGAAGCTTGAATTTTGTCTTCAGTTCTTTAAGCTTGAGCAATGCTGAGTGCATTCTTCTCTTTTGGTTTTCTAACTCCAGGTCCTTGCACACTCACTATTACACTTTACTTTGTCTTCTTGAGCTGCCCTTTGAAATTTTCTGTTCAGCTCTTTTATTTCATCATTTCTTCCATTCATTTTAGTTCTTCTATGTTCAAGAACAAGTTTCAGAGTTCTCTTCTGACATCCATCTTCTCTTTCTTTCCTATCTTTTTAATGACCTTTTGCTTTCTTCATGTGATTCCTTAACGTCATCCCACATCTTGTCTACCTTCGGTCATTTCTGTTCAATGCGTCAAATCTATTCTTGGGATGATCTCTAAATTCCTCTTTAGTTTGGCATTCTCAGCATTAAAAAAGAAAAACAACAAAAAAACCCCAAACTCCCTGCCATAGAGTCGATTCCAACTCATAGCAACCCCCATTGGACTTCAGAGGTTGTAAATCTTGTGGAAGCAGACTGCCTTATCTTTCTTTTGCAGAGCAGCCACTGGGTTCAAACTACCAACATTTGGGTTAGCAGCAGCCAAATGCCTAACCACCACCAGAGCTCCTCATTCTTGGCATAACACAAAGCAATGCACTGCCATTGAGTCGGATCCAACTCATAGTGACCCCTCCTTGGGTTTCCAAGGCAGTATCTCTTATGTTAGACTGGGTTCTCTAGAGAAACAAAACCAGTAAAGCTTATATATATAGAGAGAGGAAGAGAAATTTATCTTAGGAAAATGGCTCACACACTTATAGGAGCTGGCAAGTCCAAAGTTCTTGGATCAAATGTCAAGCTGGAGGCTTTTCCTGACTCACGCAGCTGCAGGGACGGAGGAGCTCAAGGTTGGCAGGGAGTATACTGGCTGTTGACTCCGACAAATGATGAATCCAAGATCTCCAGGCTGAATGGTGGATTGTTCACTCACAGACAGTTGTAGGCAGCACAACAGAATCCCGATCCACAGAGAGTGTCTCTTTTCCCAGGATGTCCATAAATATACTGGAGGCAGGCCACACCCCTAGGGAAGCTCCCTTTCAACAGATTGGCTGCTCAAAACATATTCATCTGATCCCATCATGGGAATAACTACAACTGCTTAAACCACAGAATTGTGGTCAGCCAAGTTGACACACAGCTCCAACTATCACATCTCTACAAAAGTATATTGCCCAACCTTCCTTCTGAGGAGTGGCTGGTGGGTTTGAACTGCCAGACTTCTGGTTAGTAGTCAAATGCCTTAGGCACTATGCCACCAGAGCTCCTGATTCCTGGCATAGTAGACCATATATTTGTCTGATTATAAATGGCCAATACCAGTCCATTTTAGCTCACTAATACCTGTGATACCAATCTTTATGCATTCCACTTCATTCATTGACAACTTCTAATTTTCCTAGATTCATTCTTCGTACATTCTATGTTTCGATTATTAATGGATGTTTGCAGCTTTTTTCTTCTCATGTTGAGGTATGCTACATTAGCAAATGAAGGTCCTGAAAGCTTTATTCCTTTCATATCATTAAGGTTGACTCTACTTTAAGGAGGTAGCTCTTCTCCAGTTGCATTTTGAGTGCCTCCCAACCTGAGGGGCTCATCTGTGGCACTATGCCAGTCAGTGCTCTGTTGTTTTTCATAAGTTTTCACTGGCCAGTTTTTTCCAGAATTAGATAGCTAGGTCCTTCTTCCTAGTCTGTCTAGTCTGGAAGCACCACTGAAACCTATCTACTATGGATGACTGTGCTGGTGTTTGAAATACTGGAGGCATAACTTCCAGCCCCATAGCAACATGCAAGTCAGCACAGTATGACGACAAACTGCCAGACAATAGGTAGAAAGTTTGGGATTAGCAAATTTGGTGAACTTGGACAATTGGTCAGTTTGCAATTAAAGTCTTAGTGAATTAACCATTCACTCAACCTCTCTGGGACTGTAAGGGGGGCATCTGAAACTGAGCCAGGTGATTTCTAAGATCTGAGATCTGAGCTGTTTTTCTATCCTTTATGTACTTCCAGCTGCTCCTGAGCACCTGGAACTGAACAAAGTCCTGGGGACACAACAGGAAATAAATCCAGGTGGAGTTCCTGTCTTTGGGCAACTCAATCTGGTTAGGGACAGGCATCAACCAAGTAATCACGTGGATGGACAGAAGGTTGAGTGATTGCTATGAAATTGCATCAGGCAGAAAGTCTCCTAGGCACTATGCTTCCGTAGAACTCACTTTCCCACAAGCCTCTGCTTCCTAGGACCACCTCTCAAAAAACCACCTGCTTGTTGTTATCTCAGAATCTGCACCTGAGGGAGCCCTGACTAAGGTAATAGTACTCTGGAAAAATAACTTTGTTGCTGATACCTGAAGAGATGTCTTGGTAAGTTCAGATTTCTGGCATCTCTCAACAGATTAAACAACAACAACAAAAATCTGCCCTGCTGGCAATATCCTACTGAGCTGAGTGTTAGAAACCCACTTCTTGTTGTTGTTAGATGCTGTTGAATCATTTCCGACCCATAGCAACCACATGCACAGCAGAACGAGACACTGCCTGATCCCGCACCAGCTCCATGATCCCTGCTATATTTGAGCCCATCATCGCAGCCACCGTTTCAATCCATCTTGTTGAAGGCCTGCCCCCTTTTGTCGACCCTCCACTAAGAAACCCACTTAGGTGGGGCAAAGTCTCCCCATTTTTCCACAAGCCACACCTGGGCCATTCCACTTGGTCCATTGTCTGCCTGGCCTCTGCAGGTGTTGGAGTTGTGAGTCCTGGATTTCATCCCCTCTGAGGACCTGTCCCTGTTGTCCTGACATTCCATAATGCTAATTTCTACTTCCTCTGAGAAGTCCTCCATCTGCCTTGTTTGAGGCTCTTCTTGGCTGGCCCCAGGGGGCAAAGCAGAAGTCAGTTGTCAACTGTCTATGCAGACATTCTAGATGTGGTTGATGCTGCCCTAAGCTACATGGTACATGGCATGACAGAGGAGTAGAGTGTAGCTTACCGTTGTACTTGGCCAAAAACTTGCTCTTCAGAAGCTCTGAGAGAGAGGCCTTCAGGTGTTCTTCCTGCAACAGATGAAAGGAACAGGCAGGGTTGGCAGATTCTGACCAGGGGGTGGGGGACCCCAGCATAAAGATGTACAGAGGGGATCAAGAGAAGTCCTGTGGAGTATGCTTTTGGAAGACATTGGAGACAGATATCAAGAGTAGTAAGATGACTGGGGAAGGTTGGGGGCCTTGAAGAAAGCAGCCCTCACCCTAAGTTGCAATGACTATCTCCATATCTCTGTAGGGTAGCCCTGGGGAAGGGGAAGCTGGTTGCTCTGACCCCCTGGGCCACAGCTGCACAGGGACCAACTTTGGGTTAGTCCAAAGAGGAGCATTCTAATGCTGAGATAGTTATAATAGGTGCAGGAATGGTCTCATTGAAGTACTGAGCCTCCTATCACCATGAGTGTTCAAGCGGTCCTGATCAGGGCTGTCTCAGCCCATCTAGAAAGACTAGTGTCTTCAAGACACTCTTTTCTCAACTGTTGTCTTCTCATATCTGCATTGTCTATGATGTGTGTGGTGACCTCCTGAGATGTGACACCTTGTATAGTGCACAACTTGTCCAACCATCCCTGGCAGTCCTGGTCTGGAGGACCACTCTCTGATGATGTTACAGAAGAAACCTGGGCAGATGATTTTTTGGATCTATCAACCCTGGGATTCTGTGGAAGTAAGGATGGAGCAAGACCTTGTGTAATGGAGATATTTTTGAAGTGCTTCTCAGTGTATGTTCTCACTCAGAGAACATTTTTGTTTTGTTTTGTTGTCCCTTTTTCAGCCTTCCTCCAGCAGGGCTAAAGCATAAGGCTCATGGTCCTGTGGAAGTGGAGGGTGGTAGCATGTCCCCAGGGTGGGAAATAGGGAAGGGGCAGACAGGGGCAGTGAAAGCCCAGCTAGAACAGGAGCAGGAACAACCTCTGGGGGCGGAGACCATGTGTTCCCTCCACAGAGGACTTGTCAACGGCACCCCAAGGACAGGGACGAGCCAGACCAGTGACACTACAGCAGAAACCCTCACGCTGTGGTGGGCACAGGTGGCTTAGGATGTCACTGGGAAGCACAGAGGTGGGGAGACTTGGAGAAGGGCCACATAGCTCTGGTGTGAGTGCAAACTATGAATTGCTGAATATTTCCACAAGAGAGGCCGTTTTCAACCTGTGGAAAAGGAGATGCTCTTAAGATTCCTGGTATCATCCTGGATGGCTGTCTTTCACTCCTTCCCTACCTCCGCTCCCTCAGGAAGTCTTGTCACCTCTACCTTCACAAAACATCCTATTCCTGACCACTACCCCGTCGACTGCCACCACCCTGGGCCAAGCCTCATCAGGACTCACCTGGAGTTTTCTACCTACCTCCTCACTGGCCCCCCTGCCTCCACTGCTGCATCCTCTAGTCTGTTTCCACAGGTGGCCAGAGGGGTCCTGCTCTGCTCAGAACCCTCCAGGGACTCCCATCACACTCAGAGCAAAGGCCTGCCCCTCCTACAAGGCCCTGCGTGGACTGGCCCTGCCAACCCCTCTGACCTGCCCTCCTCCCGGGCTTCTCTCACTGACCCGGCTCCAGTCACGCTGGCTATTCCCTGAGCTCATCAGGCATAGCTGCTGTTTTGGGACCTTTGGCCCTCCTCTTCCTCCATATCCCCAAGGCTTCCTCTCTCCCCTCCTCCAAGTCTTTTCTCAGATCTCTCCTTCTCAATGAGAGCTTCCCTAACTCCCTGCTTGATAATACCCCCATCTCTGTAGTACTTCTTTCTTTTTCAAAAGCATTGTCACCTTCCTGGAGTCCCTGGTGGCACAAATGGTTAAGTGCTTGACCGCTAACTGAAAGGTTGGTGGTTTGAGCCCCGCCAAAAGTCCTCAGAAGAAAGGCCTAGTAATCTGCTTCTGAAAGTTCACAACCTTGAAACCCTGGGAGCACAATTCCACTCTGCAGCACATGGGGTTGCCGGGAGTTAGAGTCAGCTTGACAGCAACTGGTTAGGTTTGGAATCAAATACCATGTGATTTATTCTATTTTTTGTTTGTTAGCTGACTTTATCCTGCTAGCATTTGAGCACCACGAGGGTAGAGACCTTTGTTTTCTTCACTAATACACCCCAAGCACCTAAGCCAGGACCAGGCACATAGTAGATGCTCAACAAACATTTGTTAAGCATATGAATGGATGAAATGTCCCTGTGTCTTCTGTCCCCACCAAGGGGCACAGGGACCCTAGAACAAGATGAAACCAGTGATAGAAATTGAATGAGGCTTTCAATCTCAGTGACACTGGCCTTTTCTCAGGCCTGCTCATGGACCCTTCAGGACCCATGGGAGGCCAAGGTTAAGATGAGACTCACCTGTTTCATGAGGTCAGCAGGGTAGGGGCCCAGGGTGATTGTGGTGCTACCAGAGAAAAGAGATCATTCATTTAGGTCACAGCAGCTGATTGTGGGGTGCAGTGCTCAGTGAGCTGTGAGTCACAGCACTCGGGCCCTAGTCCTGCTCTGTTCTCTGTCACTGTGTGACCCCAGCAAGTCTTGTCACTTCTCTGAGCTTCATATGTACAACAGGCATAATCTCTTCCCAGACTAATTTGCTCCCAGGGTTGTGGTGAGGATCAAATGTGAGATGTGAAGGGACAAGAGCATGACGCTTGGGAATAGTAATGGCAGCCAGCACAAATTGGAGTCCCTACTATGTGCTGGGTATGGGCCTGGATCACCTCATCTAATTGTCACCACAATCCTGCTCATTTTACAATCATTGTTATGTGATGAGTGACACCTATGACCCTGTGTCTGTTGTGTGCCCCCCGGCTTTCCTCCTTTGGAGCCTTATCAGAACTTGCTTCATCCCCACTCCCTCCCACATGAGATTATTTCTCTCCAGGAGATGAACATAATTACCATCACCAGCATCTCAATAATAACTAGTATGTACTGAGTGCTTGCTGTAGCCAGTGCTGAGCACTTTATGCATGTATGGTATTTTTTCCTATTGACACCCCCAGATCTAACTGTCGCCCTCTTTTACAGACTGAGAAACTAAAGCTCTGAGCTTGTGATTTTTGCCCCAGACGTTCTGGGCCCTCCTCTCAGCCTTAAGTTGTGCTTGCACCTAGCTACCAGACTTCGGCCAGTCTCGCCCCAGATGAAACAAGGGGACCATGCCTCAACGATGACTGAGTCATTCCAAAGAGGCAACTCAGTCCTGGCTCTCTCCATCATCACTGCCCGTTCTGTCAGTCACCTTTGTTCCTTCCTTTAGACCAGAGATGAAAAGTGCGTTTCATTGAGTGCACTGGATTTGTTTGGCAAAGGCTGTGTAGGAAAGGACTCTGGGGCTGCCTCTGGGCTCAGTGAGAGACTGCTGCAATTGATTCGAGCCATCTGCCTCGGGCACTTTGAGAGGCAAGAGGTCCCTTCAAGCTCGTTTGCCAGCTAAGCATTAGGCCATTACACCCTCCCCTTTTTCTCTTGACAGGTCCCACCCAGGTTCCTACTCTGGCACGTAGACTTTTCCAATCACTTCAGCCCTTGGTCATCTTTCCCTGGAGCAGGAGAAGAAGCTTTTGAATTTGGCAGACTTGAGTTCAAATCCCAGATCTTCCACTTACCAGCTGTATTCTAGGACAAATCACTTCTCCTCACTGAGCCTTGGTTTCCTCTTCTATTAAATGGGACTAGTAGTGTCCATCCCTAGGGGTGCTTGGGAGGTCCTGGTACAGAGGCCAGGTATGTAAACCTCTAGGCACAATGACTAGCACATAGTAGGTGTTTCAGAGGGTATGCTAGTTCCCAAATGCCTATTGACTACACTCTACACTCGGATGGGAATAATAATGCCTTCAGTGTTCTGTTGTTTTTTTACTCCCTGAATTTGCTCCCAAACACTCTGAGGTTTGAGCACACAGTAGGTGTTTTAGGAAGACCTGAAATGGATTATTTAGATAGAGCTGGCTCATACTACACATTAACAAAGACATAGAAAACTCCTTATGAGGCACTAGCCCCATGCTCTCAACTGGCATTTGGGGGCAAGCTACCTGGATGCTATTTGCTGAGTGCCAGGCATGCTGCCAAAGATGTCACATACGTGAGCTCATTGAATCCTCATAATAACATTGCAAGGAAGGTATTCTCTATGTTGCACAAATGAAGAAACAGAGGCACTGAGAGGGTGTGTGGAGTGCCAAGGGTCACACAGCGAGGAATTTTTTGAGCTGGGGTTTGAATGCAGGCCTGTTGAGTTCAAAACCTTTGACCTTCACCACAAGCATCCCCTCCCTCCTTCCTTTCACAAATCACGGTGCTCCACTGTCCCGAGCTAACAGCTGGCATGGAACCTGCACCCTTAACCACATTCTGCCTCACCCCATCTCTCTTTCTCTTTGTCAGCCATCTTATTCTTTCTGAACATCCAAAACCAAAAACATCACCTGTCTGGATTGAGCTGAATACTTAATTTCCGGTTTCTTGAGGAAAACACAGCCTCTGAATGGAGTTTCTATGAGGAATTGAAATGAGGTCAGAACAGGAAAGGTATCCTCTAGCCAGAGACACTTCCTTCACTCCACCCCGTGAGTACTCCTCCAGGGTAAACCCCTGGTCCTGTGCCTCCCCTCCCCACCAGACATGTCCTTCTCCACCTGTTGGTTCACATGTGTTCAGACCTCAAGAGTGTGGGTGTTGTTATGGGCGAGGGCACTGGTGGGTGTGGGTGCCCCTGGCGGCGGGGAAGTCTGGGGCTGGATGCAAGTGGAGGGGACTCAGCTCAGTGGAGGGAAAGCCTTTTGCAATGAGAGCCACTTAGCAGTAGAATCACTGTTTCTGGAAGCTAGAAGACCCCTTGGTTTTGAGGAGGTCATTGATAGGTCTCCATAATTCACATGGTCAGCTTATAAACTAGAAACAGAACTTTTACTAAAGTCAAGAATGACTGAGTTTCCTGACCACAGAGTCAAGTCAACTAAGATCCAAGGCACCTGCTGTCCACACTGGGATGGACCCACCTACCCCCTTGTCTGAGGTACTTTCTTCCCAACTACAGAAATAGAAGGAGCTCTGGTAGTGTAGTGCCTAAGGCACTTGACTGCTAACCAGAAGGCTGGTGGTTCAAACCTACCAGCCACTCCTCGGAAGGAAAGTTGGGTAATCCTACTTCTGTAGTAATACTGCCTCGGAAATCCAAGGAGGGGTCGCTATGAGTCGGGGCCAACTCAATGGCACATAACAACGACAACACAGAAATAGAGACCCCAGGGTTCTCAGAGTGCAGAAGTTGAAACTTTTGGAGGTTGTATTTCTCCAGAATTTCTCCCAGGGCTTGGCCTGTTTCTATGAAGCCTGGGTCACCCTCTCCCATGGAGCACAGAAACACAGACACGTTGATCCCCTCCATGAACAAACAGTTACAAACTTCCCCCAGTCTGTAGATGAGGGCTTTTAATGTCCAGGGAGAAAGACAGAAGATTTAACAACCACCCCAGGTGGTCTTGGAGGCAACTCCTTTGTTGCTGAGGAAGTCTGTGGGGAGCATTGGGGGTGAATCAGGGAGCAGGTACTTGAGTATTTTAATGTTTTAGTAACAGGTGCAGCTGTCCAGGTGTGGACTAACTGAGTCTCAGTGGATTACATGGTGGTGAGGTTTGCTGCTGCCTTCCTGTTAACCCTGCCCTCAGCTGGAGTCAGCAGGCCTCAGAGGGTGTCCTCACAGCTGATCTAAGTGTCGTCCCCCACCCCCCAGTGGATAAAAGCACCTCCCATCTCACTTACCCAGGAAACAGAAGCAGAGAAAGTGTTGCCGGGCCCCAGCAATACCAGTGAGCCAGGCTGGGTGACTGTGGCCCTGTGGTTGTCAAGGTGGATGGTGGGAGGATCCGGGGTACTGATGGTCAGTCCTAGGTTTTCTCTGGACCAATTAGAAGTCTGACGAGATTAAAACAGAAAAGGTGCAGGAAGGGACAGAATATGGCCTTCCTTGGCCCCCAGCTTGGAGGATGGGAACAAGACCATCTCAGGTGCCAGGGTGTCTAGGGTTTCATTGTAGCTCTGCAGTGACTTGCTGTGGAGAGCTTCTTTGAGATGGGATTCTGTCCTTCTGGGCATGCACAGCAGGTAAAATATAGATTTTGGAGCTAGATGCCCAAGGCCACCACTTACAAGCTGTGTGGACTGAAACAACTTTCTTAATCTCTCTGTGCCTTGATTTTCACATTTGATAACTGCATCTACCCTGTGAGGTTTTTGTGAGGATTAAATGGGTTAATTTATGTAAAGAGCTTAGAATGGAACTTGGCACATAGTAATGCTATGTATGTGTCAGCTATTATTGTTTTGTTATTATTATTGTTTGCCTACCAGGTGCCATAGTCTAAAAGCCTTTGGAGAGAGGGCATTGTCATACACTTAGCATGGGTTTTGGAGTCAGGGGGCCGAGATCAAATCCTGGTTCTGTTCTTTACCGGACAATGTGCGCTTGGGCAAGTGAATTCATGTTGTTGAGCCTTAGTTTGCTCACCTGTGAAAAGGGGACATAGTACAGGGTTGCCTGAGGATTAAATGAATGTACATGAAAGGGCCTGCTCACTGTTATCTGCTATGCTCACATCTGGCTGCCTTGCTAGGTCTGCCTCAGCAAGCTGTTGTCGTTTTGTTTAGTAATGAATAACAGTGATGGCCTCATGGCCCCAGTCCCTGGGCCAGGCACTGAACAAAGTGCCTTACTTGCATTGCTTGTTTCATCCTTACAACACCTGTGAAGCAGGTGCTGTGATCAGCAGAGACCACAGCAGGAAACCCTTGCCGAATGGAACATGCCCATGTGACCCAGCCCAGCTTTCTCACCCCAGAATCTTTTCTGAGACTCTGGCCAGGGCCCTGGGTCAGAAGCTGGGGAGAACGCTCACCTTGTGTTTGGGCTCCAGCTCTCTCAGCAGCAACAGCTGAATGAGGTCGACAGCCTGGAAAAGGGCAGATTGTAGGCTAAGCTTTAGAAAACTGAGCAGGCTGAGGGACTCAGGGGGGTTCAAAGCCTTGTAATTGTCCCCACGTCTACACACTGCCTGCAAACCCGGTCTCAGCTGAGAAGAGCCATTCAGCTGGTTTCTTGTCATGAGTTATCTTGAAAGGTTAACTTTTTGTTGTTTTGATGATTTTTCCCTAATGTTTTATTATGAAAATTACTACAGGTTGTTGGGTGCTGTCGAGTAGATTCTGACACACACACATACGAAGAACATTTGCGTACTCATCACCTAGATTCTACTATCGCATTTTTCCTATACTTGCTTTATCATGGGAGCCCTGGTGGTGTAGTGCCTAAGGCATGTGACTGCTAACCAGAAGGCTGGCGGTTCAAATTCACCAGCCACTCTTTGGAAGGAAGGTTTGACAATCTATCTCTGTAGTGATACTGCCTTGGAAACCCGAGGAGGGGTCACTATGAGTTGGATCCGACTTCATGGCAGTGAGTTTGGTTTGGTTTTGGTTTTGCTTCATCTCACTTCTATCCATTTATCTACTCTCCACTGATTTTTAAAAATAACAAATAATTGTAGGAAATATTACAAAAATATCCACTCCAATACTTCTTCCCTTTCCCCCAGAATCCTATTCTCAAGGGTAACCACTGTTGACAATTTGGAGAATATCCTGACAGATTTTTTTCTACACATGCACAGTTACAAATAGATGGGAACATTCTAACCACACAGTCCCGCACCTTGTTTCTCTGAACATCAGTTCCTACAGAAAAGCCCCATTCTTTTTAATAGCTGCATAGTATTCCAAACTGTATACCCGTAACCTCATTTATTTTACCAGTTTCTCACTGATGGACACCTGTGTTACCTTCATTTCCCCCTCTATAATGAGTGAAGCTGCAGAGAACACCCTTGCACATGTACCCTTTCCCTCTGATACAAGAATTTTTGTAGACATGCAATTGCTGAGTTAACATGTAACTGTCTCAGGGCAGCCACACCTGTGTGGGATGAAAAGAACAACATGAGGAAGCAGGACGCCCGGGCTCTAGTACCGATGCTACTATTGGGTGCCATTGGGCCAGTCAAGTCCCCACCTGGTTCTTGGTTTTGTTATGTGAAAAACAGGACATTAACATTAGACCTCTTCTAAAAGTGGATCTTAGGATTTCATTTATTCATGAAATATTTATGAGCATCTATCTGAAGGAAGGTTGGGCAATCCTACTTCTGTAGTAATACTGTCTTGGAAACCCAAGGAGGGGTCGCTATGAGTCGGGTCCAACTTGATGGCACATAACAACAACAACAACATTGAGTATCATACACACAGTATACAGTTTAAAGTCCCTGCTGGGGGAGATAGTGGATGAGCAAAGTAATATAGAGATATGGATATAGATATATACACACACATATGTACATATAATACACATATATACAGTTGATCCTTGAACAAAAACAGGTTTGAACTACACCAGTCCACTTATGTTGTTGTTGTCATGTGTCATCGAGTTGGACCCAACTCATAGGGACCCCTCCTTGAGTTTCCGAGGCAGTATCACTACGGAAATAGATTGCCCCATCTTCCTTCTGAGGAGTGGCTGGTGGGTTTGAACCGCCAGCTTTCTGGTTAGCAGTCAAGTGCCTTTGGCACTATGCTAGCAGAGCTCCTAATCCACTTATACGTGGATCTTTTTCAAGATACAGATATTGGAGAAATGTGAAAGCTAATAGACTGCACACCAGAGGAATTAACAGAAGACAACATGATGGAAACGAGTGCTTCCAATCCAGTGCCACACAGTGAGGAAGAAGACATGGAGGAAGCAGGGCCAGAAAACAGACTGACACTGGACCGTCTGGCAGAAGGTTCTGATTATTCAAGACTGCTTTTGACTTCTTTTACCGCTTGGACCTTTCTATGATGCAGGCACTAAAACTAAGGCAAATGGTAGGATTGGTCAGAAATATTTTTACAGAAATGAAAAAGCAAAAAGTCAGACAGAAATGATGATGTATTTCCATAAAGTTACACTGAGAGGGCCTGCCTTTCTTGCCTACACTTCTGCCTGCTCAACCTGTCCTCTTCCGCCTCCTCCCTCAGCCTAGGCAACGTGAAGTCAGTGAGGGTGAAGACCTTTATGATAATCCACTTCCACTTAATGAACAGTAAATAATCATTGAGTCATACAGCTAATAAACTTTCCTATTGTGTATGTGTGCGAGTGTCTCCGTGTGAAAATCTAATAGCTGTACGACAAGAACTGTGTTAGTCGACTGTTTATGTTATCAGTGAGGCTTTTGGTCAATAGTGTGCTATTAGTAGTTAAGTTTTGGGGGAGTCAAAAGTTATATGTGGATTTTCAACTATGCAGGAGGGCAGGCACCCTAATCCTGTATTGTTCAAGTCAACTGTACATACATTTGTATATATATACTTGAAAAACCAAGAAACCAAACCCACTGCCATTGAGTCAATTCTGACTCGGCAACTCTTGTTGAGTTTCCAAGGCTGTAAATCTCTCTCTCTTTTTTAATGTGGTAAAAACATACACAAGAAGACATTTACCAACATAACAACTTCTCCATTTATAGCTCAGGGACATTGATAGCATTTTTCATGTTGTGTCACCATTATTGTTAATCCTTTTCAAAAATATTCTACCACCATTACCAAGGCAGTAAATCTTTTTGGAAGTAGATTGCCTCATCTTCCTCCCATGGAGCAGCTGGTAGGTTTGAACCAGCAACCTTCTGGTTAGCAGTCAGATGCCTTAGGCACTACGCCATCAGAGCTCCTTATATATACACATATAAGTAATACTAAGTTTTATTAATATATATGAAAAAATATATATAAATTAAGTAATAGTATTAAGCTATATAAGGAGCTCTGGTAGTGCCTAAGGCATTTGACCGCTAACCAGAAGGTTGCTGGTTTAAACCCTTCAACCACTGCACGGAAGGAAGACTGGGCAATCTACTTCTGTAAAGATTTACTGCCTCGGAAACTATTTACTGCCTTGGAAACCCAAAGGGGGTTGCTATGAGTCAGAATTGACTTGATGACAGTGATTTTTTTTTTTAATTTAAATTATATATATGTGTAAATATTTATCTATCTAAGGAGCTCTGGTGATATAGTGGTTAAAATATTTGGCTGCTAACCACTTATTTGGTTAGAACCAATATTTGGTTAGAACCCACCAGCAGCTTTGTGGGAAAAAGATGAGGCAGTCTGCTTCTGTAAAGATTTATAGGCTTGGAAACCCTATGGGGCAGTTCTACTCTGTCCATAGGGTTGCTAAGACTCGGAATAGACTTGTTCTGGCTACCTAGTGCCGCTCTGACAGGAATATACTACAAATAGGATGGCCTTAACAAACAGGAGTTTGTTCTCACAATTTGGAGGCTTTAAGTCCAAGTTCAAAGTACCGGGCTCTAGGGGCTGGGTGAAAGCCCCTCAACCTTGGGGTCTAGCTCTGCCTCCTGCTCCCGGCCCATTGGAGCTAGAGGCATTTCTTCACTGAGACAGCTGCTAGCTGCTGAGGCTGAGAAGCCCCAAGATTGACAAGTAAAAAGGCACAGTCCCGATGTTACCAAATCACATGGCAGGCCATTAATTTAAGTCTATTGTAAGTCCCAAGGTCGACAGAGCATGGCAGTCTGCTGAACAATGACACAGCTACATGCAGGGTCCAAGCATTCTATAGGTTAGACCATTTCCAAGGCTTCTCCTTATATACAGGAAGCAGCCCACATCCCAAAGGCAGCTACTCAGCTGCTTATGGTAGATCCCACCATGGAGTTGTTTGCTAATCTCATCATGGGGAATAACTACCACCAGCTGCCCAGCCACTCAACCAGGCCCAGCCAAGTTGACATACAAACGTAGCTACCACAAGACTCGATAGCAAGGTTTTTTTTTTTTTTTTTTTTTCAGTTTTAAATCTATCTACCTCTCTCTCTCTGTCGCTCACTTTATACATAGTGGTCCAGAAAGGGCTCTCTGAGGAGATGACATTTGCTCTGAGACTCTTCTGAGGGGAAGAGTGTTCTGAGCAGCGACCAGCAGGTGCGAAGCCCTGAGGTGAGAGTAAGCTTGGCCTGGAGTACAGAGGGTGAGGCGAAAGTGGGAGGAGACTGGCATGGAGAGTGGGTGGGGCCAGGATTTTCTCAGAGTATGATGAGGAGCCCCTGGGTCCTTTGAGCAGTGACGTAGCTGAATTTATCCTCATTTGATCCACCCCCAGCATCCACTGACACCGGGAACTGGCTCTTCCTGTGGCCCTCCATGAGTGTGGCTCCTTGTCACCTTTCAGACCACCCCTCAGAGAAATCTTTCCTGACTACAGTGTCCAGAGCAGCCTCCTCCCTTCCATCAGCCACTTGCTACCCATTGCCTTGCCTATTTTCAATAAGAGAAATTATTTGACTTAGCTCATTGTTTTCTCGTTCAGTTTCTATTTTCCCCACAAGATCACGGACCCTTTGTAGGCCTCCAATAAATACTTATTGCATAAATGAATGGATGAGTGTTATGTTGGGCTTTGAAAGCAGAATAAGAGCCTTCCAGGTGAGGTCCAGGGAGGGCAAACGCCTTGCCTAAACCCACCCAGCAAAGCATTTCACCGCCTGGACCCTGGTTTCTTCATGTGAAAAATAGAGCAGCAAAGCTGTGTCTCGTCCCTACCACCTCTCTTCAAGCACTCACCATGGAGTCTTGGGTGTCCACGTGGATCACTTCACTGGTGTAGAGGCAGGACAGGATATCATTGTAGACTTCTTGCCAAAAGGCTAGGTCTGCCATGCTGCCCTGGGCTAATTTTGGGAGGGGCTCAGGGGACAGGTTGTCAGGCCATGGGGTTCTCTGGCCTGGGCAACAGGGTGTCTTGAGCTTCAGAGAGATGAAGAGGAAGAGAGGTTCAGTGGGAACAGCCTCCCTGGCCAATGATTGATAGCAGTTGATGTATGGAAGACTCACTATGTGCTGGGCATGAGCACAATCTCATTTGAACCTCACAGCAGCTTCACAAGAAGAGAACTATCATGGTCACTATTTGGAAGATGAGGAAACTGAGGTTCCAGAGAGGTGAAGTGACTTGTCTAAGATCCCACACATGGTAGGTAAGAGGTGGAGCTAACCTTTGGACCCATGAGCCCCATTTCCTTGCCTCTCCGCACTTGACCCCATTGCCTTCTCTGTTCTTTTGTCAATACCTCTCCCTATCCACTCAAATCACTTCCACCCTTCTGACCCACATTTTATCATTCCACGGGGAAGGGCCAATGGATGCGGAGGTAGGCAGGCACAGCCAGCCCTGTTTCTTCTCTGGGCCTCTGTTTCCCCATCTGAGGGATCCCTTCCAGCTGGGGTACTGTGTGTGGCCCTGCAACTCCTGACCTGACCCACCTGCCCCTTTTGCAGCCTTTCCTGGCCTCCAGAGTTGAGGTAGGACTCCCTGGGGCTGGCACCTGCAGCCTTGGGGGTCTCCCCATTCTCCTTCCTTGCTTCTTCTCTCCTTCCTCCACCTTCGCCTACCACTTCCTGTTCTTATTCTATTTCCTCTTTTTTCCTCCTTCTCCTCTCTGTTCTGCCCCCTTTCCAGAGAAGCCCTGACTCGTGTTCCTCTTTGTCCCCCTCCAGCCAGGGACTTGCTCACCTGGACTTTCATCAGGATGGCCTCCTCCGTGAGCTCTGTGGTGGTGACATAATACTGAAAGTCGTCTGGGTCCGAAATGTTTGGGGCTACAATGAGGAAATGAAAGTGGGGCCCAAGCTCCCTGTGGGGGACTTGGAGAGGCAACGAAGCAGGGAGAAATTAATTCTCTCTCTGCATTTATCTTTCAGCTCCTTGAGGGCTAGGCTGTTTGTGTGTCTCTGAACAATGGCCATTTATCATATTATCGTAACAGTCCTGCACAATGATCCTGTGATTAATCCCATTTACTGACTGGGTAGCTGAGGCTCAGAGGAGGGAAAACGATTTACCACAGTCACAAGGTATATATTGCCTTTTCTCTCCCCCACTACAAAGGAGGTTCCTCATGGGCAGGTTTGGTCTGTGTTGTACCCTGGCATATTTCTAGAGCCTAGAACAGTGCCTGGCACATAGTAGGGGGACAGCAGACAAACCCCTGCTCTGGCCAGCAGCAACGTACGCAGAGTGCAGTGCAGCAGGTCTTCCAGCAGTGAGTTGAGCAGGGTTGTGGCCAGGGGGCACACCTGGAGGGAAGGCATGTGGGTTAGCAACAGAGTCTGAGGTCTGGAAGCTCTCTGTTGGGGTCATACCCCTTGGAGGGTGGTGAAAGGAATTTGAGAAACTTACTATTTTCTGCAAGAGGAAAGGCAATGCCTCATCTAAGACACTAGTCACCAACTCCAGGGCTTTGTTCACCAGCAGGGTGTCCATCCTAGGGACAGGGAACAGCAGCTGGTGGGGTCTGGGCAGAGGAACACCCTTCCCCCAGGGCCTGTATAGCATGGAGTTTCAGAGTGGCTACTTCCTTCCCTGCCTGGTGTCTCCCTCAACTTTCTCCTTCTCTCTCCTACTTTTCTTTTCTGTTCTTTTTTCTTTTGTACTTTCTCTTCTACTTACTCCCCCTTTTCTTTATTTCTTCCTGATTCTCCCTCTCTGCCTCTGTTTCTTTATTTCTCTGTCTCATAAATGCCTCTGGGATTTTTTGAGCAGGGAGAGATCACACTTGGTAGACATCATGGAAGACTTCCCGGAGGAGGTGGCTTTTGCCTTGGGTAAATATAAGAAAAGGAGCTCTGGTAGCATAGTGGTTAAGCACTTGGCTGCTAACTAAAAGGTTGGTGGTTTGAACCCACCAGTCACTCTGCGGGAGAAAGATGAGGCTGTCTGCTTCTGTAAGATTTACAGCCTTGGATATCCTGTGGGGGCAGTTCTACTCTGTCCCATAGGGTTGCTGTGAGTTGGAATTGACTGGGTGACAATAGGTTGGTTGGTTTGTTTTTTTAAATATAAGATGATAGATAGTGGCCACCTTTTGTGGCAGATTCTGTGCTAAGGGGGTCACACGAATTAGCTCATCTCTTCCTCATAACCACCCCATGCTGATGGGGTAATGTGGTGATTCCATTTTGCCGGTAAGGATATTAAGGCTCTTAGAAGTCAAATTCCTTGATGAGGGCTCATTGCTATGAAATGGCCAAGGCAAGATTTGAACCTGGGTGTGCCCATGCTCTTAGTTATGATATTCAAAATGGTAGCTTGTGTGATCTGTGGCCTTAGAGATCTGCCTGCCCCTGACACCCCTGGTCACTCCACATAGCTCGACTGGGGACAAGTACCCCCTCCCTGCATGTTAGTGAGAGCTGAAAAGCAGGATCGGTGCAGGAAGACCTGGCACCTGCCTCTACCCAGAGAAGTGTGGCATTGGCTGGTACTCACTCCTCCAGAACCTTGATGCTCAGGTATCCTGGTGAGGTGTGGCACTCTTCAAAGGCCACCTCGGTCTTGTTCCCTGTCTGTTCCAGCCGTGCCCCAATGCGGATGTTCTTGATGACTTTGAGCCTCAGGATCCTGTCGGGACAGCATGTTTGGGCAAGCTCCAAGCCACAGCCCCAGGTTGAGGCCAAAGTTGGTAGCCTCCAGGATAACACAGGGTGCCTGGAGGGCTCAAGTAAAAAACTAGGAGATTTCATTACAAATATGGATTTCACGCTTTGGAAAACTTGAAGGCTCTGTTAGTACCGGGCTAACGTCTTTCATGGTGACTGTCGCCTGCAGCTGAGGATGACCTCGAGGTGGGGCCCAGGCTTGTCAGTTTGCCACATTCCTACCAGGCCAAGTGCCAAGGTGCATTGTGGTTGCACTATCATCACAAGAAAGGAGTTCTGGTGGCATAGTGCCTAAGGCATGTGATTGCTAACCAGAAGGTTGGTGATTCAAACCCACCAGCCACTCTGTGAAAAGAAAACTGAACAATCTACTTCTGTAAAGATTTACCTCCTCAGAAACCCAAAGGGGGTCGCTGTGAGTCAGAATGGACTCAATGGCAGTGAGTTTGGTTTGGTTTGGTTTTCATCACAAGAAGGAGCTCTGGTGGTGTAGTGGTCAAGGCATTTGGCTATTAACCAGAAGGTTGGTGGTTGGAACCCACTAGCCACTCCATGGAAAAAAATCTTCTGTAAAGATTTACAGCCTTGGAAACCCAACTGGGGTTGCTATGAATCAAAATCAACTCAAGGGCAGTGAGTTTGGTTTTTTGGTTTTTATCATCACAATACTTGCTACTGTGCAGTCAATTTTGACTCATAGTGATCCCCACTGGGTTTCTGAGGCTGTAAGCATTTACTGAGGTAGAGCCACTGACCTTCTGGTTAGCAACCAAATGCCTTATCCACTATGTCACCAGAAACCCTTTATCATCACAATAGTGACACATTTATGTTATAGCAGAGAAATGTTTCTCTGTGCCTACGTCTCTATCAAAGAAGTACTTCTTTGTGCTCACATCTCTACTAAGAAGAAAAACTAGACCAAGAAAGTCATCTTTCTCAAGAGAAACAGGAGCAGGCATAATCCTTAAGTGACATTTAAGAATATTCCTGTTTAAAGTGTAAGGTCACCTCTTCTTTTGGCTGCCATGTCTGTAACCCTGGGTCTATCCACACTGTAGGGTTCTGTAGGAGTAAACTCTGACAACAGCCTCATGCAGTAGGGAACCTGATCATACCCACTGCACAGATGAGGAAACTGAGGGAAAGGAAGGCCCTTGCTCAGATCACCCAGATGGTCAATGGGATCGGAGCCCAGGTAGCTTGTCCCAGTCCCTTCCAGATCATTCTGGTTAATCTACGTGGCTGCCCATTTCCTCAGCCAGGGCACGTGTCCCCTGGCATGGTAGTCAGAGGGTTTTATTTCAGCCTTTGTCTATGACACCGTGTGTCATCCTTGGCAGGTCTTTCTCCCACTCTGTGCCCAGTTTCCTCATCAGTAAAAATGGATTTGAAATGCACCCAAGTGAAAAGGCTTATTGTAATCCTCGTGGTGGCATGAGATGGTGGCTTTTGCTACCCCTGCATGGCTGCCTCTTATGTCATGGTCGTGAGGGGAAGAGCTGCCTGGGACCCTAGTGAATGGGGAGGAAGCCCCACCACACACTCACCCCTGCAGTGAGAGGTACAGTTTGCTGCGCAGTGTGACCTGCATCAGGCTGTCACTCAGGATTTGCAGGGTGACCTCAGGGCCTTTGGCATCTTCTATGACCAACCTGTGAGAAGCATGAGGGAGATTAGAGACAGGAAGTCATTTAGTCCTTGCTGGCCTTTGGGGCCTGTAACTAGGGCTGGAGATACTGGGTACAATAGAGGTTAGGGTATAATTTTCATCGTGCTGATGGGCAGGCTGAGGGCTTGAAGAGGATGTGGCTTGGCCAAGCTCAGTTCTCCTGCTGTAGGTACTGGCTTTTCCCATTCCACAATGCCATTGGTTCCCTTTGGGGTCGGCTAAGCTGGGATGACAGGCAGCTGTCCTGGATGTGGCCAGGTAAGGACTCTGTGACTCTGGAGTGTGTGTGTCTGACTAGTTGGACAAGGAGCAGACCCTGGGGCAGGGGGGAGCTCTGAGGGAGCCCCTTCCCTTGACCCTGAACCATGCCAGAACACTGAGCTCTAGTCCATACTCCACGCCTTGCAGGGCAAATCCTTCCCCTCTCTGGGCCTCAGTGCCACCCTCCACAAGATGAGGAGAATACGGTGGAGGAGCTGTCTACACACATTGAACTTATCTGAATTCAAATAAAGGCCTTCTGCAAAAGAAAAATGAGTGCATGAGAGTCAGGGGGAGCCAAATGACCCCACCGCCATCCCCCAGACCCATCGTCCCACAGGGCACCCAGGAGGGAGCAGCACCTGTACCTTCTGTTCCCTCAGGTGGACTTAGGTCTCTGGGCTGAGGGAGCCCAGGACTTCACGTACTGTCTGAACATTAGCTGCAGATGGGGGACTCATTTGGCGCTCACTGGAGCAAGTGGCAAGTACTTGTTGATGTCCCACTGGGTCAGGCTTCCTGAAGGCTGTGTTGCCTGCCTCCAGCATGGAACCTCCCTGAAGAGTTTTCAGAAAAGACTTGGACCTCACAGGCTTTCCTCTGACACACGGCTATTAGCTCTACCAAGCTGATGCCCTGTGCCAAGAAGGGTGTGCCAAGGCAGCCAGATGGCATGGGCTGGGGTGAGTGGCGTTGGCATGGGCTGGGGCAAGGATGGGCTCCCAAGCCTCCTCCCAGCTTCTCTGGGCAATGCCCTCACCCACTGCAGCACCCACACTTTTTCATTTTGTTTTATCCCTATCAGAAAATGTCTTCTGCATTTCATCATTCCAGGACCTGTCTAACTCTTCCTGCCAGTGCCAGAGATGGATTCAGAAAGGTGCCCCTGGCTGCATGGATGGACCTTACAGGAATCCCTGACCCAATCTAAATACATATCTTTCATTTATGTATGTAGTTATTTTACCAGGAGTCTCCAACTCAGCTTTCTCTGGTAGCCATGCTGGAGTGGGTAGCTGGGGACTGACTTACGGCCTGCAGTCCTAGCACCAACTATTGCCTCATGGGAAGTCAGAGCAGGTGTGGCCAGATCTTTTTTTTTTCTTTTAAATTATTGTGATTTGGGTGAACATTTACAGAGCAAATTCATTTTCCATACAGCAGTTCATACACATTTTGTTTCATGACATTGACTGCACTTCCCCACGGTGTAACAGCTTTCTTCCCACTTCCTCCCTGTAGTTACCTCTTCCCTGTGTCCTTCCCTCCCATGCACTCCTGCCCTCTGCCTTGGAGCTGTCTCCCTGTGTAAACACTGCCCTTCTGTTCTCAGATCTTTGATTTTTAGAAAGAATTGGGAAACCCAGTTTCTGGATTTTTACTTATTGACAATTAATTAAAGTATTTTTAAAATCACTCTGCAAATTTGAGAAATTCAAGTGTAGGCTGAATGTGGCTGGAGGGTTACCAGGTTGAGATCCCTGATTTAGACCCTACTTTGTTCCTAGAAAGATTCCAGGTGGCTTGCAGGGGTTTAGGAACAATGAAAACACACTGGCTTTGCACTTTCTGGGCTGCTCTGAGTACACCAAGCACCTGCTCTCTCTGTGAGGTGGGCCAGCATTACTTGCTCTCCTTGACAGGTGAGAACACTGAAGCTCGGGGAATTGGGCCCTGCCTGAGGGACAAGAAAGGCTGGAGGCAGCCTTGGGGACTCACCCGCCTGCCCTGATCAGCTCCCTCAGCAAAGGCAGTTCCTTCCCAGAGAACAAGTCCTCAACGAGCGACAGGTCTAGGCCACTGCTCTTCTTGGAGAGGTCTTCTCTGACGAAGGGCAGGTGGTCCAGGATGGCGACTCCTTCACCCGCGGCCCCTGTCACGGGCATCTTGGCCATGCGATCCAGCACGTGGTGCTCCAAGAACAGGTCTGAAATGTCTGAGGACACAAGCCTCCTCGTGTGGGGCTTCACCCTTCATTCAGTCATTCAACAAACACTCACTAGTGGCTGGACGGAGTCAGGCATTTAGATAGTCACTGAGCAACAAGTACTTATTAAATGCTTACTCTCTTTTGGGCTCAGGGAATAGGAGTGACCTCATGGAGTCTACATTCTTGTTGGGGAGACAGATAACAACTGAGCAATCTGTTAAATTAGCAAGGTCAGTTTTGAAAAGATAAATGCCACAAAGAAAATAAAACAGGAGTTGTGATGGAGCTTGGGAGGGGTGAAGGTCTGCTTTAGATAGGATGGCCTGCGAAGGTGTCTCTGAAGAGGAGGCATTGGATCTACTATTGAAAGATCTGGGAAGAGAGATGTAGGCAAAGGCCCTGAGGTGGGAATGAACCTGGTGAGTTTATGAAACAGAAAGTCATGAGGTGGGAGTGTGGTGAACACAGTAGGAGGTGGATGGACACAATGAGCTCGGTCTAGCATAGGGAGACAGACAGACAGACAGATAAAGAGACAGGGTAACATGCATAACACACTTGGGTAAGTCCGTAGGAAAGGATTGACTCAAAGGAGAGCCCGGGGGAAGGAAAGACTCCTGCTTGGAGAAATCAGGAGGACTTCCCAGTGGAGGGGTCATTAGAGCTTTGCCTTAGAGAATGAGTCAGAAGTCATCATGCAGAGAAGGAGGAAAGAGCATTTTAAGTGGATGGAACAGCATTGGCAGAGGCAGGGCAGCTGCGACGCCCGTGGAGTAGTCAGGGTAGAAGCAGCAGGAGGTGCCAGCAGGACCAGAACCTGCAGGGCCTTGAATGCCAGGAGGAGGAGTTGGCAGTTTTTCCTGAGGGTGCAGTGGAGCCACGGCAAGCATCAGAGCACTGGAAGGACAAGGAAGGTGAATTCTGGGGCTGACAAGGGGGAGCCCAGAGGAGGAGAGGCTGAGAGCAGGGAGGTGGTGTCGTCTTCGCCCCACTCTGGCTCCCTGACTCCTGCAGCTCACACCCTGGGTTTTACCTGTTTCCAGCTGATCCTTGCTGATCCTCTGGAAGAGCAGGTGCTGGGCCTCCCCTCGGGTCTGGGGCAGCAGCCCCCAGCACAGCAGCGACCCCCAGAGCAGTAGCATTTTCTTGGCCAGGATCTGAGGACACAGAGCCAGGAACCCTCTTCAAGGACCCAGCTCCTGTGTCTCCCAGCTCCATCTCTTCTAGAACCACTTCCAGGAGGCTCTTCTTATCTCACCTCCTCCCCCTTGACTGCAGCCTGCACTTCCAACCACTACCCGTTTGTGCGTGTGTCTCTCTGCCCGGAGCACCTTCCTCATCGAGAGGGCTGGCTTCAAATTGGGGCTCTGCCTCTGGTAATGTGACCCTTGGCTAGTTAATTGATCTCTCCAGGCCTCAGTTTTTTCATGTGTAAAATGGGGACCATCTTAGTTAGTTGAGTGAGGAATACATTCAACAATATGCAAAACATTTAGCAGGCCCTGGGTACATAAGACTGTCGAAGTGTCTGGACAGCATGGTGAGCTGTTAAAAGACACATTACTCACTTTTATCCTTGGAAGTTTCTGGATCTTGAGGAGGCCTGGGGCTTAGGGTGCTGGAGGAGGTGCTATAGTGCCTGGGGTGGTGAGGTAGGCACCTGGGAGACTCAAAATCATGACTTTTTACCACATAAAGAGGGAAATTCTACAATATTTCAACCACTACCGCAGTTCCTACCAGCCTAAAGTCAACCCTGCCCAAGAGGCCAAGAGTATGGCCAGGGCCTCAAAGCCTGGAGGCAGGGGGCTCTCAGGGTGCACAATGGTGCACCACCAGGGGGGTCAGACTCCAGGCTTGCAAGGCAGATGTCTCCATGGCAGATGCCAGTGTAAGCAGGGCCTACTCAGTGGCCGTTGCTGCTCTCCTCTCAATACTATGTCCATAAGGAAGCTACTGAGAGTGTAATCATTGCCTGAGTGGGAAAAGGAGATCCCCAAAGTGGCTGAACCTACCCTAGAGAGCCAGAGAAAATCCTGGTGGTGCCTAGAAGCGGCAACATCCAGTGGTTTGCCACTTGGTGGCACAGGACCTCAAAGTAGTGATTTAGCTGGGTAACAGAAAGAGTAAGCTTTCTGTTTGTCTATTTGGATATGTGAATTTTGCACTGTGAAATTTGTACTCATATTCTAGTGCCTAAGGCATTTGACTGCTAACCAGAAGACTGGCAGTTCAAAGCCACCAGCCATTCCTTGGAAGGAAGATTGGGCAGTCTACTTCTGTAGAGATACCGCCTCGGAAACCCAAGGAGGGGTCGCTATGAGGTGAATCTACTGGACGGCAGTGAGTTTGGTTTGGAATATTAGCTATTCATATTTTGCTTCCAGGCTGATCCTCACCTCCATTATTCATCTAGGCAGCATTTGGTGACTCCCTCTGTCAGGCACCATTTCTCAGTCAGCTTACCCAAGTCAGGTCTCTCCTCCCTCCCTGCCCTGAACACTTCACACATATCTTCCAGACCTTTCCATCTCACGTCTGGAGTCATCAATACCAGCCCCAACTTCTTAAGTCCTTACCATGGGCCAGGCACCCTACTGAGAGCATTACAAGCTTCATCTCATCATTGAGTCCTCAGCACCATGGTCTAGGATCATTGATACCAGGCCCATTTTAGATGACGGAACTGAGACTCAGAGAGGAGAAGTAATTTGCCAAACATCACACAGGCAGTAGGTGGCAGAGCTGGGATTTGAACCCAAATTCTCTTGCCACTAAGAGTCTATGCAGCACTTTGCCGTATTGTTGTAGGTGCTCAAGAAATGCTTGAGAAAAGCCCATGTTGGCATCCTTGTCCTTACCTCTCCAAGAACTGGCCTGTCCAGAACCCTCTTCAGCTTTGTCTCCAGCTTCCCGGAAAGACACCCTTTTTATAACCTGAGCTCTGAAGCCGGAGGTGGGTGGGACACACGATCAGGAAGTCCAGCCACCTGGCTGGGTCTTGCCATTCAAAGGAGCTCGTCAGTGGAGGAAGGGTCCTCCTGGCACTGGGTGGCAAGAGGCTCCTGGCCAAAACCAATAGGGCTTGTCACTGAGGCCCACGGGGCACATTCTGGGTCTGGGCTTAGGCCCACAGACCCCAGGAAGTGGGCGTCCCTGTGGTTTTGGAGTGGACCCTTTCCCTTTGGAAAGACATCAGCACAGCAGAGCCTGGGATGGGGCCTCCAGCTCCTGGTAAGGGTTGGGCACTTCTAAGACAGGATGTGACAGTCATAGACCTCGAAGGAGGAAGAACATGGGGTAGGGGGAGAGCAGGCAACAGCCAGAGGCCAGCCTGGGGTGGAGGGTGGCAATTACCTTGTAGCCATTCCCCACATCCTTTCCTTAAATGCTATCTTAACTTATTCCGTGTTATAATTTTCTGTTGCAGTACAGTGGTCAAAGGAGCTCTGGTGGCGTAGTGCCTAAGGCATTTGACTGCTAACCAGAAGGTTGGCAGTTCAAACCCACCAGCCACTCCTGGAAAGAAGACTGGGCTATTTACTTCCATAAATTTACTACCTTGGAAACCCAAAGGTGATCACTATGAGTTGGAATTGATTCAGTGGCAGTGAGTTGGTTTGGTTTGGTTGAGTTCAGTGGTAAGGGCATGGCCTCTGCAGGCAGACTGTCTTGGGTTCAAACAGCCATTATACTCAGTAGCTGTGTGACTGTGGACAAGTTACTTTCCCTTTCTGAGCCTCACTCTTCACCCCTGTAAAATGGGAATAATAAATCTTCCTTTGTCTTTAGGGTATTGTGAAGATTCAATGAGGCACCAACTCATGTAGATGTCAGTGCAGGGTCTGGCACATAGGAAAGATATATTAAAAGTTACTTATTTTAATTTCCATTTCATAGGTGAGGAAACAGACTCAGAGAGGTTAAGTGACTTGCTCAATGTCACACAGCCCAGAGAGGGAAGTAGCTATCCAATGAAGGGGAATCAGGTGCTACTTTGCAATGCAGTTCTGAGACTCTGACTCTCCCCTTACAACCACATTGCTATTGAAAGGCTCTCTTTGTGGGAATCCTGGGGCCAACAACGTGAGTGGGCACAGCTGGCTACGTCAGCATTGATCTCCTTCATCAGTACCACACAATGGCAAGTGTGACTTGTGTCTGGATGGCATTTAGATTTCCTCCAGTGCTTTCCCTTTTGCAGCTCAGAGATGTGACCAGGGCAGGGGTTAAGCTCCATTCTTTTGGGCAGAGGAGTTGGTGGAATGGTGGGTTCTGGAAGATAGTAGCTGAACAGAAAATGCATGGTCAGTGTTACCAAGATCAAAAATTCTCACTTTGACCAATATTAAAAGCAAATGGTGGATGTTAATAGGATTTGGTAGCACTCATTAGATGGACTGTACTTATTCCAGAATCTCAGAAAATCATGGACTTTGTGAATTGGAAGATGCTTTAAAGGATGATGGTCCCACCTCATTTCTGTGGCTTGGGTGTCAACGTTACTACTGCACACTGTCCACCTTCTGCTTGAGGCAGAGAAGGGCTCAGGTTAAACCTCCCATTGGAGTCCCCGGGGACGGTGCAGGATGTTGATGGAAGTGCAGATGTCTCCCTCCTCTTCAAAAATCTGGCCTCTCTTAATGGAATAAACCCAAACCCACTGCCATCAAGTTGATTCCCACTCATAGCAAATCTATAGGTCAGAGTAGAACTGCCCCACAGGGTTTCCAAGGCTTTATAGAAGCAGACTGCCACACCTTTCTCCTGTGGAGTGACTAGTGGGTTCAAACAATTGACCTTTTGGTTAGCAGCCCAATGCTTTAACCACTGCTCGAGGAGAGCTCCTTCTAAATGGATTTTTTTTTTTTTTTTAAATTCACTGTCATCTAGTTGATTCTAACTCATAGCAACCCCCACTGGGATTCTTAGGCAGTAAATCTTTATGGAGTGGAGCGGCTGGTATGTTTGAACCACCAAGCTTCTGGCTAGCAGTCAAATGCCTTAGGCACTACATGACCAGAGCTCTAGGAGCAGACAGTTTGACTGGAGCCCATGGACTCTGTTTACCTCGTTGACTCATCTCTGCTGAGAAATGAGAGATAGCCTGGGGGTCTCCTCCATGACAGCAAAGCTCTGGGAAGGACACAGAGAGGTAAATGTCTGTGGTGGTTAAGTTTGTGTGTCAACTTGGCTGGGCCTGGTTGAGTGGCTGGAGAGCTGAATGTAGTTATTTCTCATGGTGAGACTGGTAATTAACTCCATGATGGAATCTACTGAAGCTACTGAGCAGCTGCTTTGGGTATGTGGTCTATTTCTCATATATAAGAAACAGCTTTGGGAATGGTCTCTAGCTTATGGCATGGTTGAACCCTGCATATACCTGTGTCATAGTTCAGCAGCCTGCCATGCTACTTGATCTCTCTCTGTAAGATGAAGGCAACAGCAATTCCTGTGAGGCTGGGTAGTTTACTGAAATACTACGTTGTCATTTTTCTCTTTGCTGCTGCAAAGGGAAGCAGTTTTCCCTCCCCTGGCCCAGGAAGGTGGTAGAGTCTGGGAGGTCTGGGTCTGACAGCGTTTTACCTTATAGGTTCTCAGATACCTCATATGGGAAGGAGGTTGGCAACAGAGGTCAACCCCTCTCCTTGTGTTTGGGAGCTGGTGACCCAAGGAGGTGTGACGTGGGAGCAGAGAGTAGAGGGGAGGCAAGGTAGGCTGCTGGTCAAGGGCTGCTTGGCAGGCATATTGAGCTGGCAGAGCTGCAGTTTCTTCATCTGTCAAGTGGGAGAGGTTGGCAGTGCCACAGGGCCACAACCCGTGGAGAAGGCTAAGCCAGCAAAGGACTGTATGACTCTTTGAATGGTACCTGCCCTAAGCAAATGCTTGTCTTGGTTTAAGTTCCCCGGAAGCAGATGCAAAATCATGGGTTGAGTGCAGGTAGCTGATTTGGGAGCCCATCCCAGGAGATACAGGAGAGGAGTGGGGATGTGAGACAAGGAAGGGGAGGCAGCCAGGAAAGAGTATGTGGACAACAGGGGTCCGTCCTATCTTGCTGGGAGGACATGGGATTCAGAGTTGCCCCTCCAAGGGGTGAGGAGGCTGTTTTTGTTGTTGTTATGTGCTGTCAATTCAGACCCGACTCCTAGTGACCCCTTCTTGGGTTTCCGAGGTGGTATCACTACGGAAGTAGATTACCCTTCCTTCCTTCCAAGGAGTGGCTAGTGGGTTTGAACCACCAGTTCTAGTTAGCAGTCAAGTGCTTTAGGCACTACGCTAGGCTATAGTTATTTATTATTATCACTTCCCAGGAAGCCCCCGAGGCCATGGGTGGTAAGAATCCTGGGAGCTGTGGCCATGGGTGTTTTGGAGCAGGATCCCTGTATCCCGGCTTGATCAGGGTGATGCAGCTGCTCTGACAGCATCCTGTGGGCTGGAACAGAGACCCTTCATTGGGACCGGGTTATACCAAAAACCAGAGGCTCTGCCCTGTCTGCCAGCTTCCTTGGAGCATCCCCTCCCCAACAGATCCTTGTACAGCAGCAGGAAGCCAGAAGGGACCTTCCCCAAACAAGATGGAGATTGAATTTCTTTTTTCACTTTCATGGTGAGTAGGAACTGAAACCCAGATTTAACATGACTTAGAAAAATAAAGAAATGTGATAGGTGTGGAGCAAATTCGTACCCTCTTCTCAGACCACAGTGTGGTTGTGAGTCTGGACTGTGTGTGTGGGAAGCTTCAGCCCAGAGCCTGCCACTCTGTAGTTGCTCAGTCAGTGTTACCAGATGCAGTGTGAGGGCCTAAGGCCTGGGCCAGGACTTGGGCATAGGAGAAACCCCTCCCTGGGCTGCCTTTCCAAGCTGTGAGCTGTTACTGTGACCCGGCCAACAGGCCTGCTGTTTATGCCTTGAAGTTGGGAAATGACTCTTTCTGAAGCACCCACTACATCCCTTCCTGCAAGGCCCATTGTGTAAGTGAAGGGCTCTGTGTGCTCCGGCAGGCCAGAGTCTGCAGAACAGGGGCCCTATTGTCTGTCTTGAGCTTCCTGGCATCAGGGAGGCCAGGGAGACAATGGCAGTCACTGCTGTCAGAGCAGGAAGGGCCTTCAGTGATAAGATGTAACTTCCTGGAGCCCAGGTAAGAACAGTAAGGATGTCATCACCCCAGGTGACATTGTTCAAGCTCCTTCCATGTGTCTGGATCTGTTTTCTCTCATTGAATCCTCACCATGGTCTCCAAGGTGGGACTATGATTCTACCCATTTTACAGAGGAGGGAACTGAGGCCCAGAGAGGGGAAGCCACATCCCAGGGTCATATAAATAGTAGGCAGCTAGGCCAGAACGCAAAGTCTAATCCTTGTGCCTTTGAACCACATTGTTCAAAGAGTCCTTGATCCACGACACTTCCAAGTTCAACAAAATGTGCATTTGCCACCAAAGTGGCCTTGATGCTGTCATGAAAAGCAAGAAGTAAGAATTAGCTTTCTTATTCCTGGAGCCCAGAGAGGAGCTAAAGACCGTGAACCTCATCTACTTGTGGCCCAGATGTGGCACATCATTATAGCTCAGTCATTGCCCAGACTGGCTCAGATGTGCCTGAGCATGATACAGATGTGGCGTAGATATGGCCAAGATGTGGCTTGAACATCCTGTCTCCAAGCCCAACAGCAGCAAAATAACCTTGGGACATAAATCACATGGCAAGAGTCACAGAGAAGTGCTTGTTTATTACAGAGAGGGCCAGAACTTGCCAATGACCTGCCCTTTTCCCCACTCCCAGCCGGACAGCCTGACCTGGAAGACCACCATCCAAGTCTTCAGGAGTAGGGAGAGGACAGCAGCCCAGAGTCCTATGAGGAGGTTGGAGTGAGCACAAGGGCATCCTGCAATTGGAGGAGAGAAGTCAAACTGAGTCTTTACCACCTGACTTGAGATTTACGCTGGCTTTGCCCTTGACAAGGTGACTGCTCACATGAGGAGATCATGACCCTGAACGCACTCACGTAGAGTTCTTGGAGGGTCAGAAGAGGTGGGCCCAGGGTTTGAACAGTAGTAACACCAGGCTGGGGATATTTTCTGTTTGTTCACTTTTGCGGTCTCAAGCACTCTTAAACGTGACTCATAGTGACCTCCCTGGGGTTTCTGAGGCAGTATCACTACAGAAGTAGATTGCCCAATCTTCCTTATGAGGAGTGGTTGGTGGGTTTGAACCACCAGCTTTCTTCTGGTTAGCAGTCAAATGCCTTAGGTACTACTCTTCTAGAGCTCCTTGGCACATAGTAGGCCCTCACAAATTATTCATTGGATGACTAAAAAACAGAATGAATGAGTGAATGGTAGGTAGGATGGAAAAAGCTGGAAATGTGCTGACCCCAGGCCAGGCCTGCCAGAACAGTTTACCCTCCAGGGCACTTTACAGATGAGGAGGTGAGACCTGGAGAAGGGAAGACACTTGCCCCGACCCCCCATGAGTGGAGCATGGGCCTGCTTCCCAGCAGCTGTACCCCCAAAAAACCCAAACCTATTGCCATCAAGTCGATTCTGACTTGACTACAGGGCAGAGTAGAACTGCCCCAGAGAGCTTCTAAGGCTGTGAATCTTTACGGAAGCAGAATGCCACTTCTTCCTTCCACGGAGCAGCTGGTGGGTTTGAACCGCTGACTTCTCAGTTGGCAGCCAAGCTCTTAACCACTGTGCCACCAGGACTCCTCTGTACCTTCCCTAGGGCAGTGTATTTAAGTGCATGGCCCACTCACCTTGGTCAGAGACCATGTAGCTGCCTCAAATCCCAAGGCCTTCACGATCGTAATTGGGACCCCGGATCTTAATTTGCCTGAAATAACAAACGTAGTCAGGGACTGGAGGGCCTGGGGTGGGACTGAGGTAACCTTGGCCACAGATTTGGAATGTTGCCTCTGCCTGCCTGGTCCCCAGGCTCCCAGCATCCACACAGCCTCATCTCCCTGCCCTTTGCCTCTGACACTAGCTTCTGGCTGCTTACAAAGTATGCCCTGGCATCCTCTCACATTCCTGTTTAAGAACCACCAGGGGTTCCCATGGTGCACAGCAGACGTTTCTCTCCTTTGAGGTTTCCCACTCCAATAAAATACAGAAGCGGAGACGGCAGGGCTGGCAATGGGTTCCTAACTCTTCCCTCGGCCCCTACATACACCTTGGGCTTAATCACAGTATCACCTTCTCTTGTGGCTTTCTCCACTGGTAGCACAGACAACAATGCCAACAGTGATGGTAGAGAAGTGTTAAATGCTGACTGTGCCAGTCACCACCTGACAAGCCTCATCTCATCTACACCTTGAGGGAAGGTACTCTTATTTTCCCATTTTACACATGGGGGAAATTGAAGCTCAGAGGAATTAAGTAGCTTGTCCAAGGCCAGCCAGCCAGCAAGAGGGGAGAGACGAGGGCTTGAGCTCAGATCTGTGTGAGGCAGCTCGAGTGAGCTCTGGTTGTCTGTTTACACTTGTGTCCCTTGGCTGTGAGGCTGGGCCTTGCCTGGCTCACGTCTGCGTGCCCAGTCTCTGGACTAGTGAAAGAACTGCTAGGGCTGGGAGGTGAGAGATAGGAGCGTTGTTTCCCGCTGGGTGCTCGGAAAAGCTTTCTGTAGGAGGCGTAATTTGAAGCAGGCTCTGAAGGATGGATGGAAAAGGAATCAAAGGGATTCCAAAGGGAGACCCGAACAGACATAAAGGGGGCCGTGGCAGGCAAAGTGACGCACCGTTTTCGTTGGGCAGCAGGACGGAGAACAGGATCTCAGTGACGATGTCTTTGAGAAGCTCAGGCTGCGAGAGAGTAGTGACACCGTCACTCTGGCTGAGAATGCAAAGTCCTCCCAACCCTTCCTAGGACAGGAGTGGCCCAGGCCCATGGCGAGGACAGCTGGTGGAGATGCCAGGATCCCAGATCCCTTGCCTGTTGGAGCGGCGCAGACTCCGGAAGCCAGACAGGCTAGGGGCGGGGCACAGAGGGCTGCCCCTGGTGGCTGGCAGGTGATGGGACCGGGGTGCAGTGGAGGATGGGTCCCTCCTCGGGGGCTCCATGGCTCTGTTCCAGACTGATTTGCCCTGAGGGAATGCTGGCCTGTGTGGTCCGAGTTTTGGACTTCTCAAGGGAAGCCAGAAAGCCTGACTGTCATGTGGAAACCTCCCTGTGTGAAAATCTTAGCCGAAACATTTTACAAAACAAAACAAAACACAACACAACATGAGGACCCAAGGAAACACAATAGAAGGCAGGGCTCGGCCGGTTGAGAACTTTGAGTCAGTCTGACTCAGATGGGGAAACTGAGGACCAGCAGGTAAGAGGCTGCCCAGGCACTGAGGTGGGTCTACAAGAGCAAAATGAGATTGTCCATCAGGGGATTTGTTTTCTAAAATGAGATCAAAACTTCACTGAAGGAAAGTGAGTGTGTGTCTGTGTATGTGTCTGTGAGTGTGTGTGTTTGCATGTCTGAGTGTGTGTGTGTGAGTATGCATGTGTTCTCAGCTGTGTCCAACACATAGTATGTGCTCAGTAAATGCCCGAGCCAGGAAGTCTGTGACTACTGCCAGGCCTCTACACTCTCCTTCCCTTTGTCCACATTCAGCCAGAGATTGGAGGCCAGACAGCCTTCCTGAGAGTCCTGGTGCAGCCTTTAGCTGATGCTTATCTCATCCCAGAACTTTGTGGTGGCCACGGAGGCCACCACAGACTGTCTGTGGGGACCTCATTTGAGATAAATGCTGGGCCATGTTTCTTTTTGAAACAAACCATTCTGGGTTATCCAGGGCCCTGGGGACAATCTGTTAATACTCACGTTGAAAAGGCCAATTCCCGAGTTCATCAGTTGGATCCGATCAGAACTGCAACAGGAGATGCTTGTGAGAATGGCCCCTGGGACCCTACTCGTTCATTCATTCATTCAACAAATGTTTATTGAGCACTTATTAGGTACCAAGCACAGTGCCAGCTCTGTAGAGATAACAGTGAACCAAGTCAAATCTTTGTCCTGTGGAGCTTACATCCTAATGGGGGGAGGCAGAAAACAAACTGGCCCCTAAGAGCAGAAAAATCACCCCCAGAAGTGACGGCTGTAGTGAATTGGGGTCCAGGCCCCTTCTAAAGAGGACATCTCATTCTCAACCCTAATGTTTGTTGCTATGTGGAAATGCAGGCCCAGGTTGCTGGATATTATGGTTTTCATAAGTGGCAACTAATATATATTAAAAAAAAATTGTGTATGAGCTGATCAAGACACCTTGTGACTTTTCCTGTTGTTGTTGTTATGTGCTGTCGAGTCGGACTCGACTCATAGTGACCCCTCCTTGGGTTTCTGAGACAGTATCACTATGGAAATAGATTGCCCCATCTTCCTTCTGAAGAGTGGCTGGTGGGTTTGAACTGCCAGCCTTCTTGTTAGCAGTCAAGTACCTTAGGCACTTGAGCTCCAGAGCTCCAGATTTGTCCTAGGAGGCTCCATTGTGCACCCTGACCTCCTGTCTGCAGCAGCAGGGAAGGTGCTGGGATGAGGGAGGACAGGCAGGCACTTAGTGCTGGGCTTCAAGGAGGCAGTGTCTGGGTGTGGCTGTCACTGCTACTGATGCCCAGTGTGGGGTTCAGTCTTGGAGGTGTTCTGAATGGGATGCCCAGGCCGTGGGGTGTGGGCAAGAGTGAGGATGGTGTGCGCAGGCCCTTCCTGTGGTCAGGCCCTTCCTGTGGTCAGGGGCAGCCTGCCCTGTGCCTGCTGGCAGGCCTCTTCCCTTTTCCTCCCTTTGCCCACATCCAGTCCTCAGTAGCCAGAGAATCTAGGCTAAGCAGGCTTCCTTCAAGTCCTGGAGCAGCCTTCGCCTGACACTCACCCCAGAGAGACTCATTTAAAGAACCCTGATGGTCACAGGGCAGGGCTCGTTTTTGTCACTAGCATCTACCCAGTGTTTCACATGCTTACCTGATTTCATTCAAGTTGAGCATAAGTCGGTCATCTTTGGTGAAAAACTGGGCTTCTGAACTAGCTTCCTGCAAGAAAAGAAAGCCACGCCCCATTTCTTTTAAGAGGATGTGTGAAATGTGGGGGTTGGGGGTTGTCCAAGGAGCCTCTAGGGTCAGATTGACACAGTCTGAATCTTAGTTCCTGGCTCTGTGACTTTGGGAAAGGGTTGGGCCTCTCTGGGCCTCATTTTCCTCACTTGTTAAATGGGGTAATAACTTTGCTCACTATTTCCTTAACAGATTCCACATAGGATTGTTGTGGGGAACAAATGATGATGATGACAGTGATGATGTTACTATGCTCAGAGTCCTCACTGTGGCTGGGCCAGGTTGTAAGTTTTCTTAGTTGTCTTCTTAACCCTTACAACCCTTACAACCTTATGAGGTAGGTCCTCTTATAACACCATTGTAGAGGTGAGGAAACGGAGGGTCAAAGAGGATAAGCAACCACCTGGTAAATGTTGGGAGCTCTGGTGGCTTAGTGCCTAAGGCATTGACTGCTAACCAGAAGGCTGGAAGTTCAAATCCACCAGCTGCTCCTTGGAAGGAAGACTGGGCAATCGACTTCTGTAGAGATACCACCTTGGAAACCCAAGGAGGGGTCACTATGAGTCAAATCCACTTGATGGCAGTGAGTTTTTTTTTTTTTTGGTGGTAAATGTTAACCACTCTTCTTATTATTGGAAAGATCAGAAATGAAGCTAGGTCTCAAATACAGGATATGTATCAATTTGACCTCTGGACTGGGGTGATGCTGAGGGCAGTGTAGTGGGCTCCACCTCCAGGTCAGCTCCACCCGGAGAACAAACTCGTTCTGCAGGCATGGGCTTGGATGACCCTTTGAAGAGTGTCTGGCATTAACCAGGGAGGATCCCACCAGAGAGTGAGGCTGGCCCGGGAAGTCTATTCCCAATGCTGGTCTGGGTATATGTGTGTGTGTGTTGATCAGTGTCCTTCAGTACAGGAAGCCAGGTCACTACACTGTGCATCTCCAGGGGGCACCATTCACCTTGTAGTCTTTGTGAACATTGGGTGGACAGCTGTACGAGACAACCCTGCAGTAAGGACAGTGTCAACATTAGCCTCCTATTAAGAGCCCTCTTAAGATTCCTTGGATAAGCAAAACCAAAACAATAGCAACAACAACAACAAAAACTCACCACTATTGAGTCAATTCTGACTCATTGCAACCCCCATTGGGTTTCCAAGGAGTAAATTGCCTCATCTTTCTCCCACGCAGCAGCTGGTGGGTATGAGGCACCAAACGTCTGGTTAGCAGCCAAATGCCTTACCCACTATGCCCCCAGAGCTCCTTGGTTCAGCATGGAAGGCCTTAATTATCCAAATTATCCCAATCATGCCTCACTTCGCTCCTCTTCTTTGCCTCCTATAGTGGATGGTGGTGGGACCCTACTCAGAATCCCTTTCCAGGGAGGGCATCCTTCCCTCAGCTGCTGTGAGTGTTAATGCTCATAGTTCATACCTGCCCCTTCTCTCCTTTCTCTGGAGAACTTCCCTTGCTTACACAGAGCTGCCTTGGTGGGAGGTTCTGTTCTCCCCTTGTCCTGGGGAGCCATTGGTGGCTAATGATGGACTGGCAAGGGGGTATCAAAGGACAGTCCTCTTATCTCAATGTGAGCTCAACTCTGTGGGCCCATGAGGGGATAGCCAGCCTGAGGATGAAGGCTGCCAGATGGAAAGAGAGAAGAATAAAGACAAGATTGTTTGAGCACCTGGATCCAGCTATTCCTGAAGGCAAAAGTCATCTTAGACTTTTTGGTGACAAGAGCTAATATAATTCCTTTTGTGCATGTGAAACAAGTTTCTGATCAAAGATCCGTAATACATTTGTAGGGCTTGAGTTGCATTCCCGGAGCTCCTTACTCTTGGTCCAGAGCTCTTTTCCCTTGCCCCATCCCTGCCAGGTGACAAGAGTGACGGAAACATTTAGCAACGCAGGAAGGGTAAACAGGAACAGTGAACAGGAGGGTTCCCTGGGCTGCTACCCATGGCATAGACAATTGCACTCACAATGCCTATGGTGAAGAAGGGGCGGCGGACTTCATTGGTGGCAAACACCTCCAACATGATCAGCTGGGCCACCTTGGCGTTGCCCTCACTCAGAAGGAGCTTGGGGGTATCTTGAGTTAAGATCTTCACAATCTGTGTGGGCCCCATTTGATCCGCAGCCTAGAAGGACATCAGACTCACATGTGGCCTCCCAAGTACCTCACCATGGCCCATGGGCCCCATGTGACCCCATGTGGCCTGGCCCTGGCCATCTTCCCCACCTCCCTACTTCCTCGCTGTGCTCCAGCCACAGTACCCTTCCTTCTTCAAGATCCTTGAATGCATTGTCCTCTTCCCACCTCCTAGCCTTTGGTTTTGCTGTTCTCTCTGCCTGGAATTCCCTTCCTTTCAGGGAAGCACTCCTGATCTCCCAGTAATGTTTCTGTGACCCCCTAGAACTTGTCCTTCGTCATTGCACTTGTAACTGATGTATTATCTATGTAGGTATTTGATTCAGGTCACCCTGCTAGACTGAAATCTCTGTGAGGACAGGGACTGGCTCTGTTGAATTCACGGTGCTGGGAGGAGAGTGAAGTCCCACACACATTCTTCTCCCCAAAGAAGAAGGCACTCAGAGGCCCGAGGGCAGACCCCAGCAAACACCCATCAAGCTGCACATGGCAAATAGACCGACCTTTTCACTGATCACCTTGATGCTTGACTTCAGCCGACGGGCCAGCTCAGGAAGCTGAGGGTGAGAGGAAGTCAGAGGAGGTCAGTAGGAGGAGCAAGAGGAGACATGCCTCCCACACTCCACTGCTGGGGTGAAGCTTTCCTAGAACCTCAGAAAAGCTGGACGGGCTGGGTGGTCCAGGCCACATACATGTCATTAGAAATATAGCCACTATGTCAACTGTTGTGGGGTATGGGGTCCTCACTGACCTGAACTCTTCCTGCAGATTGGTGGTGGTCGTGGGTTTGTAGGCTGCTCCCTACTCCCAGAGAACATATAGAGGTGATATCAATTCTTAGGAGTTATGAAAGTGGTTACTAGTGACCACTCCTATTTTCTCAACATCCTACTCCTTTACTCTGAATTCTAAATTTTAAGACCTTGGTTATTGCCTGTCAGCTGACCTGAATCCCTGCTACTCTTCCATGACTTTGGGCCAATACCTTTCCCCTCTGGGCCTTAGTTTCCTCATCAGTCACCCTGGAGGAGAAGGCACATTCTAATTGACTAGTGACGGTTGTCTGCTGTGCTGTGTTGATAAGGATTCCAAGGTGGAGTCAACATCCAGGCTCAATAGGAAGGAGGGCCCTGATCAAATAGTGATGTCTGCCATGGGCCCTAGTGAAGAGTCCACAATTGCTATTCCTGGACAGCCTAGTATCTGAGATGTTTTTGTCATCTCTGGACAACTCAGTGGACTACTCAATGGAGCGCTGGTGGTATAGTGGTTAAAACCACTTCTGGCTGCTAACCAAAAGGCCAGTGGTTTGAACCAACTGTTCCATGGGAAAAAAGATGGGGCAGTCTGCTTCCATAAAGATTTACAGCCTTGGAAACCCTATGGGGGCAGTTCTACTCTGTCTTACAGGGTTGCTATGACTCGAAATTGACTCAATGGCAGTTGGTTTGGTTTTTGGTTGGACTAAGTATCTAAGACGCCCTTTGGCTTGACAGGACAGTTATTTGGTGGAGGAAGCAGATGTATGAGGTTTCAGAGGGCAGAACAGGATGGGTAGTGAACCTTGGAGGATCTTGGGTCTTTTAGATTAGGGAGTGAACTCTCCATGATGGGAGGGATTTAAATGAGCCTGACAAGGGATTCCTACTCAGGACCCTAGGGTCCATGCACCTTCTTTAATTCAGGAAGTTCCCATGATGTAGCAGACACCCCAGACACCATCCTCTGTCCCATGCTGAGGCTTACCACGTAGTCCAATAGGACCGCAAGTTCCTCTGGAGGGAGCAAGACCCCCACTGCAGAATCCACCACATCGTGCCTCACAATGAAGCTGAAAGGAGCACTGTCCAGGGTGGGCACCGTCTGGGATGCTATAGAGTCATTGAACCAGTTGGTCACCTTTCCCTGTGAGTCCAACAACTTGGCCTAAGGAGACACAGAGCAAGTTGTTGACTGGGAATTTTAACTCCACAGCATACCCTATAACAACCTAGAAGGACGTGACACCTTTGAGCTTGTATCTCTTTTTGCATTTGTTGCAGGTAAGCTTGGCCTGGAATTCAGTGTCTTGGTACAAGTGGTGTTATCTCAGGTGCCTGGCAATATGTGCTTCAACTACAACCCTCAGATCATCTCATCTTGTGCTTATGCTTCAACTTCCCAGATACCTCAAACCGTTTGGCTGAATGGACAATTCAAAACTGCAATAAAATGGGTGGAAATATTTGATGCTTTGATTTCCCAAGAGAGCCACGAATGCTAGGGTCGCAGGTTCACATGGCCTGGGTCGGCCTGGTCCCTCAAGGAGTCCAGTGCAGCGTGGATAAGCAGCTGCACATTTTATAGAACACCAGCACTTTCTGAAGGAGCTCTGGTGGCTCTATGCTGAAGACAATCAAATGCCAGAAGGCTGGTGGTTCAAACCCACCAGCCACTCCATGGAAGGAAGATGGAGCAATTGACTTCCATAAAGATTTACCTCCCCAGAAACCCAATGGGGGCTGCTATGAGTTGGAATTGACTCGATAGCAGTGATTTATCTTCTTTTTTTTTTTTTAAACATTTTCTGGGTACTTCCTCCCAGGCAGTCTCATTTCACCCTCTCCTCAGTGATTATTATTATCTATGTTTTCCAGGCAAAGAAACTAAGGATTAGAGAGCTGAAAGAACTCACCCAAGATCACACAGACAGAGAGTACTGGAGCTGGGAGACAAACAAGGCTGTGCAATTCTCAATGATGTATTTTGACCATGGAATCAGCCAAGGGCTTTTCTTTCAAGGTTGCCAGAGATTTGGGGATTGGCAGGAGTTTGTCTGTGAGAAAAGTCAAGGGCCCCAGAGCACACAGTCCTGGCCCTGCCTGGTAAAGTCAGGGTTGGAGAACAGGTCTGTGTGTGGCTGCTATGCTGGTTTTTCTCCCTCAGATGGTTTGTGTGGGGTGTGCTCAGCCTGTTGTGACTTTTTTGAACTGGACTACATATCCTAACTCTAACTGGTGTTTTCTCCCCTGATACCCATGGTATCTGACCCTTGGTGGTCAGGGAAGGCCCGGGACACTCACGTTCAGGTTGAGCTGGATGACATTATTCTTGATGGCAGAAGACAGAAGATCAAACTCCAGGTGGTCAAAGCCGAGGGCAACAGGTTCTGGTCAGACAGGAAGAAAATTCTGTGAGGATGGAGGTCAGTGCGGGCAGGGCGGAAGGATGCTGGGAGGAGCAGGAGTAATCATGATGATGTTGGTCATGGCAATGATAATGATGATAAAAAAGCCAAACCAAACTCACTGCCACTGAGTCGATTCCGACTCACAGCAATCCCCTTTGGGTTTCCGAGGTGGCAAATCTTTATGGAAGTAGATGGCCCAGTCTTCCTTCCATGGGCTAATGATGACAGTGACTGATATTTATACGCTTACTACTAAATGCTAGGCACTGTTCTAAACTTTACATGTGTTAGCTCATTTGATATTCATAATAGTCCTAGGAGGCAGGTCTTATTTTTACCCTGTTTTACAGATGGAGAAACCAAGGCTCAGAAAGATAGAATGGCTTGTTCAAGGTCATACACTGAGAAGATTTGAACACCGGTCAGCCCCATGCCAAACTCCTGATTTGGGTCAAAACTTAGCTATTGCTTGTAACTCTTCATCTCCTCTGCTAGACTGACCAGCACCTCCTGCTCACTCGGTAGGTCTGGGTCTGGGTTTCCATCCAACCACGGGATCACATCTATTCGCAGTGGGATTCCACACTTGGCCACCCAGGTGGCGGTGACGTCTCATCTCCTCAGCTGCTGGGCTGGGAAAAGCTGGTCACGGTGGAGGTGAGGGCCTGGGCTAACGTTTCTCTAGCAGGCTCAATCGACCCGTGGCCCTGCACACTTCCTCCTGCCCCTGGAGAGCAGAGGAGCCACCTGGGTTTGAGCGCCAGTAACCTTGGTTAGTTTCATCCCGTCTCTGAACCTGAACAATACTTTTCAGCCTCCAAAAGAGTAGATGGTAGACTTTTCCTCCCCCACCAATCTCCACTCTGCAGAAGCCCTTGTCCTCCCATCTCTGCTACTCTCTGGGGAAAGGGAAACGACCTCCTTGCTTGCCACAGATCTTGTCTCTGCCCTGGTCCCCCTTCCCTAGTACACAGTGGTTGTTGTATCTCTCATCCATCCATCCATCCATCCATCCATTCAGCACACTTCTGTAAGCATGTCTCTGTGCCAGGCAGAGAACCTGGTGTGTGGCTGGAATTTTCCTGTAAACTTTTAATCCCCAGTAACAATCTTATGAGGTGGGGATGTAGAACCCCTATTTTTTCAATGAGAACACTGAAGCTGAAAAAAGGTAGAGTGGCTTGGCCAAAGGGATGAAACAAGTCAGTGGCAGAGGTAGGCTCTGAATTTGAATTTTTCAGGGGTTCCAGGGCCCAAACCTTCCTGCTGCACCTGTTGGCCTCACATAGAAGCTTGAGTATAGTGGGTGCTTGTGAAGTTGTAGGTGTGGTGAATTCCTCTCTGCGCATCCTGGGCAGGGGATCACCTGTGGCTCATCCTACCGGTTGCTGGGCCCAGGTTGCTGGTCAGGCCCGATCTGGCTCATTTGTAAAGGGAAGAAGCAGGAGAGAGAGCTGTGTACCCACCTTTCACCAGGTGCAGGAAGTCGGCATACATATCCTTGAAGGCCATCTCCATCACGGGACACAGCTGCAAGAGCACAGATGCAGGAGCGCTTTTAATGAGGGGCTGGGGGTGCACTGAGCTTCTTCTTGTCCCAATGCTGCCAGTGGCTTTCCCATAGGAAGATTCCTGCCCCCCCCCCATCCCGGGGGGACATTTGGCTATTGCTGGAGCTCTGGTGGCATAGTGCGTAAGGCATCCGACTGCTAACCAGAAGGTTGGCGGTTCAAACCCACCAGCCACTCCGTGGAAGGAAGACAGGGCAATCTTCCATAAAGATCTACTGTCTTAGAAACCCAAAGGGAGTCTCTATGAGTTGGAATTGATTCGATGGCAGTGAGTTTTGTTATTTTTTTTGGAGACATTTTAATTGTCACAACTTGGGGGGGGCGTGCTGTGCTAGTGGCATCTAGTGGGTAGAGAACAGGGATGCTACTAAATATTCCACAATTCCCAGGAGAGCTGCCTCTCCCAACAAAGTACCCTCTGACCCTAGATATCAACTGTAGTGCTGGGGCAGAGAGGATCTCGACTACCCTAATCCTGGCATCACTGTTAAAACGCAACTCATGGGCTCACATGGTTTGTGGGACCCAAAGGCTTTCTCCTCTGCTCTGAGGCAGCCCATTTGCCAGGGCAGCGCTCCAAGGTCATTTAAGGTCATTTTGCCTAGGTACAATTGCCCTAATGGAAGAAACTTCTCATTGACCATTCCTTACTACTCTCGAGAAGATACAGTGCACTTTGAGAAATTTTTGTTTTTCAATGCATAACTGTTCCCTGTTCTCAGCTGCTTCGCTGACCCAGAACCCAGACTAGAGACTCCCAGCATGCACTGCCAAGGGACCATCTGTTCCTCGTGCACGTTCTCCCTTGGTTTCCCTTCCTTTATTTCCACCAGTGGGTCTCCACCCTGGCTGCACATTAGACCTGAGGGGGAGCTAGGATCTTCTGGGGCCCAAGACCTCATCCCAGATCAATTATACCAGTCCCTCTGGGGTGGGAACCAGACCTCAGTATTTCTAAAGTCTTCTCAGGGGGTTCTGCTGTGAAGCTAGGGTTGAGACCTATACAGACTTACCCTAAACAAAAACCAAAACAAACTCACTGCCGTTGAGTTGGATCCAACTCTTAGTGACCCCTCCTTGGGTTTCCGAGGTGGTATCACTACAGAAGTAGATTGCCCAGTCTTCTTTCTGAGGAGTGGCTGGTGGGTTTGAACCTCTAGCCTTCTGGTTAGCAGTCAAATGCTTTAGACACTATGCCATCAGAGCTCCTACAGACTTACCCTGGAAGGGCTTATTTGATACTTCTTAAATGGACTCTTGCCATTTCTTTCAAATGTACTATGCCTTTTTCCCTCATGTCAGATAAAATATTCATATGACCATTGTATCAAATCCAGTGAATCATGGTGGAAAACCATATGACAGTGGGCTTACCAGTTCCTCTGTCATTTGCTGTATTTAATGTTTCACCATTAGTGTCGGATACTATGCAGAGAGCATTTTATAATCTTATGTGACTGCCCTTTCTTTCTAGTGGAAAATACACGTTTAGCTATTAAAGTGTGATGCCAGATAAAATAGGATTTTGCTGGAGGCTGGGGGAAATTTTATAGCTGAGCTCTACTTTGAGACATTCCCACACTTAAAGGAGAAAAAAAAAATCTCAAAAGAAAAAAAAATCTCACCCAAGAAAAGCTAAATTTTAGAAAATTATTCATTTACAGATTCTTCTAGAAGGCATCCCTGGAGCGGCTTTCACTCAAAAACGCACCCCCATCAAGTCGATTCCCACTCTTAGTGACTAGTAGTATTTCCAAGGGTGCAAATCTTTATGGAAGCAGACTGCCTCATCTTTCTTCCAGCAGAGTGGCTGGTGGGTCTGAACCCTTGACCTTTTGGTTAGCAGCCAAATGTCTTAACCACTACCAGAGTACCTTTGGAATGGTTTAGTAAAGTAGTAAATGTTGTACAACTATTACAAAAATTGTGAATTTTATACGATGGCTTAGAAACATGGGTATAATTTAAAGAACATCAAATAGTATGTATACCAAGTGTGGATGGAGATTGGAAGGCAATGAACAAAATAGAAAATATTTGTTGTGTTAAGGTAGTGAGACTGTAGGTATTTGTTTTCCAAGTTGTTTTGGTCATCACAACATCTTTTCAGTTAAAGAAAGTTTTATTATTGAAGAATCTGCTGTTAAAAAAAATCAACTGTTTGACAAGGTTTTTTTTTTTTTGACTCCAGAAGAGGTGGCTCATTGCTGGGAACACATCTTGAAATTATCAGGTGGAAGTCAATGGCCATAGTGGATGAACCCTACTTGTAAAATTTCAGTTTACTTGTGACATATGAGAGATGTGTAACATAAGACTGATGTGTGTTTGCTGACTCAGAAAAACAAATCCTTCAGGAGCTGCTGGGTGGCAGAGCCCCTGAAGACCACAGCCAGTTTGGTCTGAGACAGAGGTGTGCTAGAACCAACTTGCACGGACTTGCAAGGACCAATTGTTAAAATTTCAGTAATTTCTGATCTGTGTGCTAAATCTAGCCATTATGAAAAATTAAATTATATCAATTTACAATTAAATAAATTGTATTAAAAACAAAGATGATGAAAAGTCAAAATTTATTCCTTCTTAGTTATTTTACTAGGAGCTCTGGTGGTATAGCGCTTAAGGCACTTGGTTGCTAATCAAAAGGTCAATGGTTCGAACCCAACAGGTGCTCCGCAGAAAAAGATAGGGCGGTCTGCTTCTGCATAGATCTACCTTGGAAACCCAATGGAGGGGTCACTATGAGTCGGAATCGACTCCATGGCAGTGAGTCTGTGTTTAGTTACTTCACTACTATCTGTGGCCCTTGACGTTATTTATCTTCATCGTATCTGTGTGGTGGAAATACTGTACAATAGTGGGCTACAGCACAACTCTTCCCAATTCTGTGGTCTGTGACCACACATTTGCAGCATGAAATCAGCCATGGCTGGAGTACACCACAGAGATCAGCAAATGCTACAAAATCAGGGCTCTCTCCCCTCATCCTTGCCAAAGTTTGTGGTTGAACATTGACCAGCACATCAGGTTATCAGCGTAAGTTCACCTGGCAGACTTTTGGGTGTTCCCTTACCTTGATCTTAACAATCTGCCTGGGCCAGTGGCCCCATCCATGGCTCTTTGCTCAGCCATCATGCCTGAAAGAAATAGCCAGCCCCAGAAGTTTCCTGCCCAAGGAGCCTCAAGTCCCTCAGCACCAGCTTGCTGCTCTGTTCCAACCCCACAGGGGGAATAACCCTCATAGGCCAGAGAGGCCCTGGTTCCACTCACCTGACTTTTCACCAACTCTGGCAGGGCTGGCACTAGGAAGCTTATGACCTTGTTGGCTAAGGAGTTGACCAGGAAGGAGAGCCTTTCCAAGAGGAGAAGGGAGAGAGAGATTAGGAAGGGTCCGAGATGATAACCCCTCCCCTATTTTCCAGAAGGGGAGTTAGAGTCCTGTGGAGGAAGGAGTCTGCCCGAGGCCACACCGCCTGTTAGGGACAGAGCTGGGTGTGGACCCTGAGTCAGGTGGAGACACTGTGGCAGAGTTTTCTGGAAGCAGGGTCTGGGGAGAGGGGTTGTCTTGAAACTTGTGCTGGACTTTAGGGTGATGAGGCTTGACATGTCTCCTCATTTTCCTGCTAAGGAGAAGTGAAGGGAAACACAGTGTTTTTTGAGCAACTACTATGTGCCATGCACTATTCTGAGTGCTTTATGGTTATTGCATGGCCTAATCCTTTCCCTGCTGCTTGGAAGATATCATCAACTCCATTTTACAGATGAGGAAGGTGTGAGGCACAGCATCATTTAGTAAACAAAGGGGCTGCTTTTGTTTTCACACCATGGCTCCATCTGACTGTCCCTGGGGTAGTATGATGGGCCCTAGAAGGAAGTCCATCTCCACCTTCAAATGTTTGTCTCACCTCCTGGCACAAGGCCTGAAATCCCACCATTATTGCTCCCACCCTCAATGTCTTAACTCTCTTTGACATCATAGATTCCCAGATCAAAAGTCACGGAGGACAAGTCCCTTTCTTTCTCTGGACCTCAGTGTTCTCCATCTGTGACATGAGGAAAGACCACGCCCTGGCTTCTCTCTCAGGTGTGGTTGGGGCCCAGTGGGAGGCTGACTGCACTCACTTGTCCAGCAGGCTGATGCGCAGGCTTCCTTGGCTATTGAAGCAATCACTGAGGATGAGGCGGGTGGGACCCTGCCTGCTGCTCTCCACTTGGATGATAGCTTGGACCTCAGTCTCCATGTGTATCTTCACGATGGTCTTGACCAGGGGACTGTGGGGTGGAGGCATCAGACCCTGTGAACACCCTCCAAGTCCGAGGTTGGAGCAAACCTGCTGTCCATCTGTTGTCTGCCTCACCTCCCATCTGCCTGGCTTCCCTTCAGTCTCCTTTTTTGGTTTCTCCTCATCTCCCCAACTTCTTTTCCCCAGCATGTCCCAGACGTGGGCTTTGTATTCCCCTCCTGGTTTAAATCCGGTCCCTATGACAACAGCTTCCAAACTTATACCCTACTCCTTACTCAGATGTCTTACAGGCTTCTCAGATTTAACGTACAAAACTGAACTCTGGCTGATTTCCCAAACTTTCTTCTCTATCTTGGTTCCTGGCCACCTTGTCCTTCCAATTGCCCAGGCAATAGGCTTGGAGTCACCCTTGACTCCTCTCTCATCCATCAATATACCAGGAAAGCCTGTTGTCTCTTCTTACTTTCAAAACAGCTCCAGAATCCAACAACTTCTTACCACTTCCCCACCCCACAACCCTGGTCCAAGCCATCACTGTCTCCTCTTGAATTATCGTAGTGGTTTCTCACTGACCTCCTGGCCTCCACTTTTGATTCCACAGCAGTCAGAGGTATTCTTTAAAGATATTAAGTCATGTCATGTCCCTTCTCTGCTCTGAACCTTCCATCCTTCTCTCTTACTCACTAAAACCCAAATCCTCACCTCGACCCATAAGGCCTTGCATGATCAGCCCCTGGCTGCCTGCTGACCTCACCCTCCACTACTCTTCCCCTCACCCTTCTCCTTTTGTTGCCATTCTTTGAAAATGGCAAGGTTCTTCCCTCTGTTTGCAAGTTTTCCCCAGATACCTGTATGGAGGACAGGGGGCACTGCACTAGGCCCACTGTGCAGACCAAGGAGACACTCACGTATTGAATCCAGACACCATGTCCAAGGGGACCTTGACCACTAGCTCCTGGCCTCTGGCCGAGGGTTGCACTTGTGGCTGGAGGATGCTGGCTGAGGTGACCTTCAGCCTACGTGGGATGCCGGAGAGATGAGAATCATGTCTTTTGCTCAACTGAGCATTGTCCCCAAACTTGTATCCTCCAAAGCTTTTCCACCTCTGCCAGGTGTCGGGCCAGCAGCTGGGCCCCAAGCCCTGTCCACTGACTTCTCAGCGTGGTCTTGGCCCATCCTTCCCTTCCACCTCTGCCCATATCACTGTGACGATTCCCCCTCGCTTAGACAATTAATTACAGCTTCTTAGACTGAGCTTTAACACTCTTTGACCCAGCCCCTTCTCTTACTCCTCACTCTGGGTGGCAGCTCCAGCCATTCTGAAGGACTGACTGCTACTGACCATGTATGCCACTGTGTCTTTGTCCAGACTGGCCCCTCCACCTGGAATGCCATTTTCTTCTTGCCCCTGAGAAAAATCATCTCATTCCCTCCTCAGGTGACCTTCCTTTGTGGCTACCTCTATTAAAGTTCCTGTGTCATTGTCTTGTGCTTACTGTTAACTACTCCAGGAGCTTTCAAAGGAGGATCTTAGTTTGATTTGTTCTCCATAATTGGGCCCAGAGGTGACCTAAATTGATGTTTGTTGACTAAGCATGTCAAGTGTGTCCAGGGCAGAGATAGGGGGAAGGAGCCAGCTCCTACGTTTGTCCTGTTCCACTTACCAGATGATATAGCTCAGGATGGAGTTCACTAGGCTGCCTAGCAAAGGGATGCCCCCGGCTGGCTCCTTCAGCAAGGCATTGAACAATGGCAGCTGCTGGAGGATGCTGATAGCATCATGGTCCTTCAGCTCCTGGATCAGCTCTGGAGGCAGATCCCAGGATTAGGGTCCATGGGTGAGGCAAGAAGGATAAGTTGGTGGGGGCTGCAAGCTGGGGAGGGGCATAACTTAAGGATACTTGGACTCTGAGGTGGAAGAAGGAAAGTGCTCTGGTGGTGCAGTGGGTAAGGCATTTGGCTGCTAACCAGAAGGCTGGCAGTTCAAACCCACCAGCTGCTCTGTGGGAGGCAGATGAGGCAATCTATTTTAGTAAATACTTACAGCTTTGGAAACCCAATGGGGGGGGGGGATCAGTGTGAGTCAGAATTGACTCGATGGCAGTGGTTTTGGTTTGGTTTGGATATGACGTGAGAGTGTGGATGGGTCCATCCTGACCGTCTGCACTGTGTAGATGGGACTTTGAGGATGGTAGCCCAGATGGATCATTTCAAAATAGGTATAAGGCTGGGGCACAAGTGGGGCCATTCACACCACTGGGCCTTGTCAGCCTCTACTAGGAGGGTTGGCAAGTACATCTGGAAATCACACAGTACATTCAACATCTGGACCTGTATCCCTCCCACCAGCAAGTAGACGACACTTTCAGAACCAAGAGGCAGGGACCCCACAAGGCCCTGTTTGGGGTTATCTTGCTGCCAAAACACAATTGTTAACAATTCTCTAGTATCCACATCCTAAGGGCTTCTTTCCAAAGAGCCTCAGTGCTGAGCAGAGAAAGGAGCAAGCAGGACCAAGGGCCAGTTAACCAGGAGCCCTGGGTATCAGTCCCTCCAGACTGGCCATGTGATCTGAGACTCAGTGTGTCTGACTGACAGTGGAGGTGGAATACGTGTGCTCTGACAACATTTCTTCATCACTACTCACTGTGAACTCGGAAGGAAGATTGGGCAATCTACTTCCATAGGGATACTGCCTCGGCAAGCCAAGGAGGGGTGGCTATGACGGCACATAACAACAACAACAACTCACTGTGAACATCCCAGATGCTCTGCCTGAGGACTTTTTTTCTGGCAGCCAGAGCCCATTTGGCTTATGTGCAGAGAAGACCAGAGTGCTAGAGAGCTGGGACCCCAGAAGCAGCTCTTAGCCAGTGACTGATGACCAGTTCCTTCAGCCCTCAGGTGAGATGACCCAAGTGTGTGTCCTTTGTCCTCCAGAGCCCCTGTGTTCATTATTAAGTCATTGCTTCTCAATTCCATGCGCTTACTTTTTGCCTGCTCCTGATAATGGAGATGAGCCCTATAAATATTTCTACTCTGCCAGCTGGTGCAATGTTAAGCCCTATCAGAAGAAGCTCTGGAGGGACACTGGAGGAGAAAGGGGTTACCCTTCCTGGCCCAGGTGTGTACCTCTTGCTGGTCTCCTATGGTGTCAGTGCCCAATGGCTTTGGGCTGCAGGTTCAGGGTACTCCTGAGGGCAGCTTGTGATTTCTCTGAGCTCCCTAGCTCACTTCCAGGTATTCTCCTGGGATGGCTTGCCATTGGGTCAACAGCCACCCCCTTCTTCTGTGGAGGGCTTCCGGAGAATTTTGTAGGCATCTCAGCAGGCAGGTCTCTGCCTGCTAGCCTCAGCCTGTCAACTGTGGACTAGCTTTGGCCTGGGGCAACCAGGCAACTTCCCCCTCCAGTAAGCTTCAACCACAACCTCTCCAGTGAGGCTTGAACCCCAACCTTGGAGAGGATTCTCCCCATCCAAGTTTGTTCTGTCCTTGGGTTTCTCCTCATCATCCCTAGGGATGTTTTAGTGTTCTCTTTCTTTTTGCTCATAATCAATTTTCCATTACTCCAACCCCTGGTAACAATTCTTTCTATTAATTTTACCTGTTGAGTGTACTGTGTGATTTCTGTCTCCTGATTGGCCCTAACTAATACAGTTACCCCACAGGACTGAGCTCCGGTCCTCACGGTGGTAAATTGGCTTGGTCATGCACCCTTTATGGTTGCCTTCCCTTCCCCAACTTGCTCCCCACACTCCTGCAGGTGTTTCTTGGGATTGCCTTGAAAACCAGCCACTTGCACTCAAGTCCTTGACTCTAATTCTGATGCTGGGGAATCGAAACCATAGTTGCTGATCTCCAAGATCCTTCTGGTTGAACTTCATAGTGTGGATACAGACCCCTCCTCCTGCAGCCCTTAGAGCTCGCTGCCTGTTCAGTTTGGGGATCTAAGCCCCTGCCCAACCAGCCCTGGCTCAGGGCCATTAAATACAGAGGTTTTGTCTTCCTGAGCTGACTGAGAATCTCTCTTCCCAGGGACAACACTTGAGAGCGGCAGTTATCAACTGGGGGCAAGTCTTTCCCCAGAGGATCTTTGGCATGTCTTGAAGACAGTTTTGGCTGTCACGTTTGGGGCTGGAATGCTGCTAAGTATCTTGTAATGCACAGAATAGCTCCCTATAACAAAGAGTTAGCTGATCCCAAATGTCAGTAGTGTGAAGGTTGTTGATGCCCAAGTGTTGAGCTTATAAAGCTCTTAACAATTTCCATCTTATTGGGTGCTCACAACCATCTTGGATGTAGGCTCTCTTGCTTGCTCCAGAGGAGGAAACCAAAGCTTAGGGGCTTGCACAGAGTCACATAGCTGGAGAGGGTTAAGCTGTGCTGGGGACCCAGGCCACCAGACCCCCAATCAAGTGTCTTTGCTCATGGGGTCTAACTCAGATGATGTGCTCTGATAATGGGATTTCAGGCAAGGGCAGTGGCAGAGGTAGTTACATCACTGCAGGTAGTGGCCATGCACCCCTTCTGAAGGCCATAGAAACATAGACTTGGGGATTCTTGGCACCTTTGAACCATGGATCTGAATCATGGAATGTAAGGAGATGAGACTCTTAGAATCATGGACTCTTGAGATCATAGACACCTCAAACTTTATAGCTCATTCACTCAAGTCTCATCCCAGAGCTGTGTTTTGCATGCCTGCAGTGATGGGGAACTCCCTCCCTCCTTTGGAGGGCTACTCTGCTTACTCCTTTGCCTTATAGTGATGAAACCTGGGTGGTCAAGACTTACTTTCTTTGATGACTTCTGGGCCTAGGTTGAGAACCGCAGGGGGACTGAGAGTAGCTTGTACCAAAGTGGTTACCAGCAAACCACAGATGAGAGTGAAGGTCCATGGGCCGGCCATCTTCCTGGGAGTCAGTAAGCAGCAGCTGGCTGGTCTCAGAACCTGGGGTGAGTACAGAGAATCCTGTTGGTTGGACAGAGAGGGCAAGGACAGGCCTATCATGCCTGGTGAACTGGGGCATAAGGTCCAGGAGAGGCTGTTTAGGGTAGTGGTTAAGAGTGTGGGCTCTGGAACCTCACCGCCTGGGTCTATGTTCTGGCTCTGCTGCCTTGCTAGTTGTGTGTGGCCTTAGACAAGCAACTAACCTTTCTGTGCCTCAGTTTTCTCATCTGACAAATGGGCATGATAGCTACTTAATAGAGTTGACTAAATGAGTTAATAACTGGAAAGCATTTAGCACAGTGTCTGTCACAGGATAAGCACTTAGAAAATATTAGCTATTCTCATACAAGAAACCCACCAAGAGTGCCCAGGATGAAACACAATCCTCATCATCCTGGCATGGCGTACTGCCTAAGGCACTTGACTGCTAACCAGAAGGCTGGCGGTTCAAACCCACCAGCCACTCCTCAGAAGGAAGACTGGGCAATCTACTTCCATAGTGATACTGCCTTGGAAACCCAAGGAGGGGTCGCTATGAGTTGGAATCAACTTGACGCAGTGAGCTTTTTTTTTTTTTTTTTTTTTTAAATGACTCAACTGCAGTCAACCTCACCTCTTGCTTTCCCCTCTCTCCAGCCTTTCCAAGGTGCTTGCCATTCCCAGAGGATGCCTGGTTGCCTCCTGTGTCTGCAAATTTTCCCTTGGTCTTCTTGCTTCCTGGAATGCTTTCCCCCTTCCCTATGTGCCCATTGAACTCCTATCCATCCTTTAAAACCGTATCTAGGTGCCACCTTCTCTATAAAGCTTTCAGATTCCAGCAGGAACCCTGGACCACACTTGGAGAAAAGTTGCCTTGGGGCTGTTGAGTGCCCAGAAAGGAAGTTTGGTTGTTGTTGTTATTTGCCGTCGAGTCAGACCCAACTCATAGTGACCCCTCCTTGGGTTTCTGAGGTGGTATCACTAAGGAAGTAGATTGCCCAACCTTCCTTCCAAGGAATGGCTGGTGGGTTTGAACCACCAGCCTTCTGGTTAGCAGTTAAGTGCCTTAGGGACTACACTACCAGAGCTCTGGAAGATTGGTGGCAAGAGGGAAATGAGAATTCAGGCAGAACTCCAACGGTAGAAGCTGCTTATGCTGGTCCCCTTGCATGTCATATCTCTCTTTTTCTTTGCCCAGTGAGCTTCAAAATTCAGCTTCTTAACTCACAGTATTTCCTCTTCTAGAAAGCCTTCCCTGACTACCCTCCACCATGTACCTGGTCTTCTTTGAGTACAATGGCCCACAATGAGAGTTGCTTGGGGCTGAGACTGTCTCTGATGCTTCCCCTCAGCCCCACTCACATCCGCACAGGCTGGGCTCAGAGTACTCAGTGTGCAGAACAGGTCTATGTCATGGGGTCAAGGTCAGGAAAAGACACAGCCAGTCTGGTCCCTTCATCACTGTTTTTTGGTCAGTGGGTGAGGGAGCTGGGTACCTCTCTATCCCTAGGTCCTGACCCTCAGAGGGTCCTAGCTGATTAGACCTTAGTCTGGGTCCCAGCCTCCCTCTTCCTCCTGACCTAACCCTGGCAGATATCTCTAGGTCACAAACTTCCTGGCAACTGAGGCCTTCAGCCTCTTCTCTGTACTTTTACCTGGACATGTGAGAGTCCTTGCCCCTCTGCTCTCCTCTCCTGGGCAGTGGCTCGGCAAGTCCAGCCTTATATCCTGCGAGTGCCAGCCCAGGTGGCCACTTTTTGCCTTTTGGCCAAGGCTGTGGGCAGCCTGTGGTCTCCAAGGTAAATATTTGTGGCTCGCTGTGAACCACAGCCCTGCCCGGAGGCAGACTGAGGACTCCAGTTTCCTGAGATTTTGAGAAAGGAGGGTCTAGTTCTGGGGAACACTGGGGCTCATGGCAGGGGGGCTGGGCCAGGCATAGTGTGGGCCGAGTAAGGGGCTCCCTGCCTCCTGGGCAGGCCCTCCCATGGGACAACCATGAGAAAAGTGGCAGTGATATGCCACCCCAGACTTTACATTGGTTATGGCAGTGGATCAACATCGTTACCCTGACTTCATCATGGAGGAAACAGCCTCACACAGGCGGCAAATGGCGAATTCAAACCAGAACTCTGACTTCAAAACTCACCTGGGGATGTCTCCACTGTGTAGCAGACACAGGGGTGTCCTGGGGACAGACTGAATCTCAGGCCTGACCAAACTATTTTCATACTGGGTGACTTGGGGTACATTCCCTAGCCTCTCTGGGCCTTAGTTTTTCATCTGTGAAATGGGAGTAAATGACAGGACTTATCTCCTAGTGTGCTGAGGGGAACACAGTGCATATAGCTTAAAGCACAACAAAATAAAAACAACTTACTGCCACTGAGTCAGTCCCAACTCACAGTGACCCCCATTGGTTTTCTGAGGTGGTAAATCTTTATGGAAGTAGATCACCTATCTTCCTTCCGTGGAGCGTCTGGTGGATTTGAACCACCAACCTTCTGGTTAGCAGTCAAATGCCTTAGGCACTCCGCCACCAGAGCTCCATATCTTAAAGCATAGGTCCTGGCAAAGAGTAAGTGCTGATAAATGTGAGTGGAGGATGTCATTGCTGTTGTTCTTGTTTATAATAGGATGAGCCTCTGTAGGCAGATTATAATCATAGTGTAGTCCAGATAATAGGAGCTCTGGTGGCATAGTGCCTAAGGCATGTCTGCTAACCAGAAGGCTGGTGGTTTAAATCCACCAGCCACTCCTTGGAAGGAAGGTTGGGCAATCTACTTAGGTAGTAATACCACTTTGAAAACTCAAGGAGGGGTCGCTATGAGTCAGATCC